CATAGACATACTCCTGAAAACACTATGAAGGGCTTTTCTACTCAGCAGGAACCTAAATAAGAGGTTTACAATAGACCTCTGAAGGCGCGTGTCATTCTGCAGTTGGCATCATACCCATATTAGAAACTCTGGGTCCAAGCTAGATTTCTCAATGGCAAAAATGAATGGGGTTCACAAAATAGCTCCAAACTTAACACATTTTATCCTACATGCATGTTTACTCTGAACGTCACTCAAGGAGACAAAATATAAATTTTGCTACACGTGAGCTAACACTGCTATGCACTGAATTCACATCATGGTGTGATTGTCAAATGCGGCAGGTAAGTTGCTGAGCTGTAAACAAGTCATTCAGCTGGTTTGATGTGAAGTGCTCTGTTGTTGAGAAGCCAGAATTGTTCACAGAGGTGGTGATAGGAACTAGATATCCAAAGCATTTAATGCCTCTAAAAACTCTCTCAAAGAGCGCTGGTTATGAATAGGCTGCTTGATGTCTGAGCCATTGTTTTACTATAGCTCTGAGATTAGGATAAGGTGTTGTAAAGCAAACAGTTCCCAAAGAACACATTTTCTTCAGGTGTACCACTATTTTACCATCATCAACATGACATATAAAAGCTCAGTGGATGTAGATTTACTGGTGATTTTGGACAAAAAATAAAATATCTACATGTGTGTTGTCAGTAATTGCAGCTGCGTCAAAAAAAAAAACACATAACTACCTCACGAAATAGTTCAGGGTGTAACTATGTATATAGTATTAATGTTCAAAACAGTCTATCAGAACTCAAAACTGTATTGACTGATTCTCTAAGTACTTAATTCCTCTACTAAGCATTTTATTGCTCACAGTGGTAAGGTTATATTACATTACTAGACTGGCTAAAGTGCCAGCTAGCAAGCTAACACTTTTGGTGAAAAAATACATAAATAAATAAAATTGAGGTGACAAGCATTCGTATATAACACATATATCATTCATCAAACCTTCTTAAGAAGATTCTGACATTCACCGGTGTTTTCTTACTTGGGATTTGATCTTAGGTAGGAAGATTCACAGCATGAAAGTGATCTGCAGAAATTGCTTGATGCAATCACGTCAACATGGATCAGAATTTTAAAGGAATGTTTCCAACATCTTGTGGAATCCATGCCACAACAAACTGAGGCTGATTTTAGAGCAAAGGGATGCCCTACCTATTATTAGTATAGTGTTTCTAATCAAGTGCTTGGTGAGTGTATTTTAGACGTTTTAGCCAGCGTTTAGTACAAAGCTGATTTTGGTTCCTTATTTGAATTCCTTGTTACACCTTAACGTGAAAAGGAATACTCAAATCAGCCTTAATTCAAATAAGTAGCTGCCGAATAAGCAGCCAACTTCAAGCCCAAGTGTTTAAGGACAGTGCAGTATGACAACAGCAGTGATTATTAAGTTCACTCACCCAGGGAGACTGAGCTCGTTCATCTTCTGTCCATGACGGTCGAATATCTTGACGGAGTTGTCGGGGCTGATCGTTGGAGAGAAAAAACATGGTCATATTTCCCTCCACAAACTCCATCCTACAGATCCCTAAGGTGACATGGTGAGTACTTATTTTTATCAAGGCACGAATTTATATATTGAGGCTAAGAGCTAAGTTTCTCATAACTTGCGGCCCCAGTATATTCATTTGTGGCCTCAATATAGTAATTTGTGTACTAAATTTAGTAAATTGTGAAATCAATATAGTAATTTCTGATTCTTGGGCTCGACATAGTAATTCATCCACATAATAGAGTACGTTAAATCGTGGCCTCAATATGGTAATTTGTGTACTCAATATAGCAGCATGAATACAATACATTTGTAATTTGTATAGTAAGTATAGTAATTGATATGCTCAATATAGCAAATTGTGACTTCAATATAGTAATTCATGTAGTCAGTATGGTATACTGGGGCCTCAATATAGCAATTTGTGTACTCGATGTAGCAAATTGTGGCATGAATATAGTCATTTGTAATACGTGGCCTCCATATAGTAAATAGTAGCCATGTGCTCACTATAGTAAATTGTGTAGGCAATATAGTATATCGTAAATTATGTAGTCAATATAGTATATCGTAGCCTCAATATAGCAATTCGTGGCCACGCCTTATTAAAAATCACCATGTCACCTAAGGGACTCTATCATCACTCAGCGGCGACCAATAACACCGTTAACACAGAGGCACTGACGGTAACGGTCACTCCTCTCACCCTGAGACGGCGAGGTAATTCCCCAAAGCCTTCTGCCATTTGTACTGCAAACAGGAGCCGCTCCAGGCCTTTTCTGAGAGAGTAAAGACGCGCTGAAAGAGAAGAGGAGAAAAGATAAAGTATTAAAGGCGGTCGCTGAGGCAGTCTTTGAGGCGGCCGCTGCTTTTCTTTCAGCTGTGTTGATCCTGACTAACTCGGCCGTTAGCTAGGCTAGGCTAGGCTAGCGGGCTCGGCGGGCTCGACACAGTGAGAGACCGAGGCGCTGCGGCTCGCCGTCCGCTGAAAACAGCGCGACTGAGAAACAATAACGCGGCAGCGACTCCGCGATACTCGGACCTTCAGCCCGGCGGTCGGTTGGTTTACCGCTCACCTTCATTTCGGGTTTGTAGGCAATGTACCAGTTGTTTTCCCTTCCCAGAATGCCTCGCTCTGAAGCGTCTACATCTCCCCTGGCGACCTCCCTAGCAACGTCCAATCAGAAGGGTGGATGTGCTCCGTTTCTTAAAGGGGAACGCCATCGACTTTTCAAAATTTCTGACTCGTTCAGTCATCGAGGTGTGAACGAGGTCGTTCAGGGTGGTTTGATGTGAAATGTGTAATTGTAGTGAACTTAAAGATTGTCACTAAACTTAGCGAGTTTAAGCTGAGATAAAGATGTTGTAAAGCTTTAAAGAAACAAAAATACATACAGTGCTGTGCAAAGGTCTGAGACCACCATACATGTGTTTGACATTAGATACACGATAATGCATTTGCATGAGGAAGGAGAGAGTCAAAGGGAAACGAGCGGCACAACTGAAATGTCCAAAACTAGAGTTAAAAAAAAGATTAAACCATACAGAGAAAACGGAACTCTTAACAACCACCTGCAAGACCTGGCAGACCACCAAAACTACCCCCATCACATGAACAGTACTAAAAGCTTTTATCCTTGAGAGAGAGAGGAGAAAAAAAAACAGACAAAAATAAGACAAAAATAGACAAAAAAGGACATCTGCAAATCAAACAAAGAAGCTGCTGCTGTTCTCAGAACAGTGAACTGACCACCCCACTGTCCAGACCTCATCACTGAATGTGTTTGGGATGACTTGCAACCAACTTCTTCAACTGAACTTTGGAGGTGTGGAAAAATATATATGGACGTTTCTTTGAAAAACTGAAAGCAAGCCTCCTGAAAAGACATGGAAGCTGTTATTAGAAACGAAGGAAACACTGAACGCAGAAAATTTTGATATTAGATTTAATGTTGACATGTATGTGCAATGTTCTGTTAAATGTTTTGGCCATTGACATGAATAACTTTAACTGAATGTCTGTTTTGACAGATAATTAAAATAACTGAAGAGGGATCTTTGACTTTTACCCAGTACATTATTAGAAAAAGCCACCTTATGAAGTACACCTACCTTACACTGTACAACTGGTCATTAGTCGGTTTCTGACCATTTTTTGGGGCTTTAAATTGGTAGATCTTTCTCAACACAGCAGTGAGACACTTACACATGTACTGATGTCATTTTCATTACCGGCTGAGTGGATTACGGTGTTTAACTGCACTCAAAATGGAAATATATACTGATGGTACTTTTATGTTCAGTGCAGAAAGTGAACCCAAAGCTACTGCAGAACACAAAGCATCTCCACTCACTGTGAAGCTTTTTCACCAGCCAATGTTAATTGATCCTTTAAAGGGGAATTTCATCGATGTTTAAACATTTTTGCATAACTCAGTGGTTTGTTGTGAGTCAGAATTGTTCACAGTAGTAGTGATAGGAACCAGACGTCTGAAGAGTTTAATGCCTCTAAAAGCTCCTTCACAGAAAGTTTTTGTGAGTAACGGTTATGAACACACTGCCTGATGTCTGAGTCACTGTTTAACTAAAATGTATATATTTTTAAAAATCTATTCATGGGGGAGAGGGACCTGCAGGGCGGTGCAAGACAAATCCTCCCAAAAAAAATAGGTACCACTACTTTACCATTATCAGTGTTACATATAAACGCTCAGAAGACTTGTGTAGGTTCACTGATGGTTTTGGATAGTAAATAAAATGGCTATATTTGTGTTGTAGACATCACCACCATGGTAAAGGAATCAGTCTGTAAACTTCTCTACAATGAATCATTTCACATCAAACCACTCTGAATAACTTGTTTACATCTCTTCAACTGAATTAAACAGAAACTTTAAAAAAAGGGTGGAATTCCCCTTTAACAAATCGCTGCAGGCCTTTATGGAACCCAGCTCCAAACATCAAACTGCAGCTCCATCTGCTGAGGAGCTAACTCCAGAAAAACACTGCTTCATGTTGTTCTATGGACCAAAAACAGTAAATGAGTTCTGATTGGCTGCCTTGTATTGTGTCTCATTCACCAAGCAGTCAAGGCTGGAACACTTCTTATAACTTCAGCATGAACAAGTGGGGCTAAACTGCTTTAGGCTGAATAGGAAGACACCTGCATATGTTGATTTAGCTTAGTATCCATACAAGGACCGAATTGACTGGGGAGTAAATGCTACATTTTACAAACTCAGTGTTGACCCTTTTACAAACGCTGCTGGCCGCTAAAGAGATCAAGCAATAGTGTGAATGTGGGAATGAAAGCTAGGGTTACCACTCAACATGACCCTCATTACTCAATTAAATTGAACAGTCTTTTGATTTGAAGTCTGTATAAGAAAGCAATTAATCATAAGAAAAATAAAAAACAAAGTTTGATTATTTTATTTATTTACAAAAGAAAAATGAGTATATTTTAGAAAAGGTGAAAGGCATTCTTATAGAGTTTTAAAAGGACAGTAATACAAAAGTTTAGACACAGTAAAGGTTCGGAAAAGGTAATATCATTATAGGACACATAAATGCATGTTCACAACTGCCTTTTCTTGCTTCTGCTTTTTCTCACAATGGGAGACTCCACGTTCCACTGTCTGGGCGCTGGTGCTCTGAAAAAGAAAATTAATGTTTATATCTGTACACAAATATAAGTGGGGACACATCACAGGTGCAAAAACACGTTTGCACATTTAGGAACAAAGTAAAGACGATGTTGATCTGCATCCCACAAACTTTTAAGAACACATTTGACACATTTGACTACACTAAATTCCCAAACTGTCATCACCACTGAGCAGCTTTTCAGTCGGCAGCTGATCTCAAAAATCTGTAGAAAGTGCAATATTTAAGTGTGTTAACTTATTTTCACTTAGAAAATCAAAAGATGTCATTTGTTTCATTTTACCAGGAGCATCCAACCATTAGCAAACGCCTGTATTTAACATTTTATGACATTATATACACCAACCGGACTCTTCATTAAGTGCACCTCCTTGAATCTACACTCCGTCCATTTCATCAGCTTCACTTATCATACAGGAGCACTTTGTTGTTCTACGATTACAGACTGTAGTCCATCTGTTTCTCTGCATACTTGGTTAGCCCCCTTTTACCCTGTTCTTCAATGGTCAGGACCCCCACAGGACCACCACAGAGCAGTAATCATTTGGCTGGTGGATCATTCTCAGCACTGCAGTGATACTGATGTGGTGGTGGTGTGTTAGTGTGTGTTGTCCTGGTCTGAGTGGATCAGACACAGCAGTGCTGCTGGAGTTTTTAAACACTGTGTCCACTTACAGTCCCACTCTGTGTGAGTCATCATCTAGTGCTTTATCAGTGGTCACAGGACGCTGTTGGCTGATATATTTTTGGTTGGTCTATGGTATTCTCAGCAGCAGTGACACTGAGGTTTCTGAACCACATGTACCAGCACAACACACACCACCATTGCAGTGCTGAGAATGATCCACCACCTAAATAATACCTGCTCTGTGGTGGTCCTGTGGGGATCCTGGCCACTGAAGAACAGGGTGAAAAGTGGGATAAAGTATGCAGAGAAACAGATGTACTACAGTCTGTAATTGTAGAACTACAAAGTGCACCTATATAGTAAGTGGAGCTTCATTAATTTGCTGGTACTGTATTGAAATCAAAACACCTTTGAAACCTTAATATAGTGCTTAATTTTAAAGTCTAAGTTTGCAAACCTGTATATATACACTGTGTTCTTGGCTAGGCACTTTTTCCTGTGTGGTAGTAGATTTTTTCATAGTATGCAGTTTCAGCGTGGTTCTATTAAATGGTCATCTTAAGTACAGTGCTTTACTTAAAATAAGACCGTGGTGAAAAATTCAGTTTCAGTTTCAGAAAAGAAAAAGAGGCAAAAAGCCATTTCTAAAACAAAATGTAGCTACTACACAGAGAAGAGCTGTCCAAAAGAGCACTTACTGATGTTCAGGTGACATAAGATGTAAAACGCTATCATCTCCAGGTATGTTATGTCTGCCTGTAGCCAAAAACAAACATTACAATAGTCAATCTAGTGGTAAATACAATTATAGTTAAATTATTGTTTCTGGAGCAGGGATTAGGGCTGGCCAATATTATAATATCATTAAAATTATGTCGTGAAATGATGTCAGAGTACAATACACCATGCTTTTCTGAACATTTCATGTATAGCGTCAGTACTTGTAGACCAACTGCATGTTTCATTATAAAGAGAGCAAAATTAGACCCATTTAACTGGATTCAGTGCAACACAGTATGACAGCTATTGGAAAAAAAATAAATCACTGTATTCACAGTTTTTCATAGTGTTTTTAAATGTAGCACTATTAGTTCTATTTTCTTCATTCTAACTGATCAGATATCTGAAAAAATAAATATTGCGACATATATTGTATCATGAAAAATTCTCAAGTATCATGATATATTTTTCAGATATCATCCACCTCTAGCAGGAGTGCACAAACATATTGACTCAGAGGCCCAAAGTGCCAAAAAACAAACAACAACAAAAAAAAACAAAAACAGTACATTGTTACTAAAATACTTGATAAAATGATCAAGTGAAATTATGTTCTTTTATTGGGTGAAGGAGTGAGCTTAAGGTAACATGTTTGCAGTCCAAATCAGATGTCCTTGAAGGCCAACTTCTCCCCGTGGGGTGCATTTGTTCAGCCCTGATCTACACATTTAATAGCTTTGCTTTAATATAGACATGACTGATAGTGTAGAAAAAAATACCTGAAGCTCCATCATAGTGAATGGCACTGACTTGCTCTCCAAACGTCACTTCATTGATGCTCTCTGCACGGAAGCACACAATCAGTGTTACATGAAGACATGACCATTTTTATCCAAAAGAGCTAGACAAATGAGTTTCTGAATGCAATTCAGCAGTGCTGAGCTGGTTTTATCAGCAAACTAATGTAATTCCTACAGAAATAAAGCAAATTATCTACTATTGTGGACATGTTAAAGCTAAAATTTAACAAAATCAAATTTACAGAACTTTCTCTCATCGTAAATGCAGTCTATGAACAGACATGTTTGGTATCTGAATGCTTGTTTAGTTTTGTACTGGATATAAGGCTAATGTAGCTAACAAGCAATATATATATGTAAAAAATGAAAATGCAATAGCGTGTCACAGCAGTGCAAAAATGTGCAAATATCTAAAGCTAAATCTGGAGTTCCTCAAAATCCTCAAAAGAACCATAAGGCACTGCATTTTCTCTTACCCATGTTTTGCTAATTCTTCTAAATTTACAAGAGAAATATGAAATGCAATTCACTTTGATTCAGATCATCTGCTTAAGTACAAATCACACATACAATATCATTAGACATTTTTTAGGCAGGTTCATTGTACAGATAATGACAATTCACAAAAATTGTACTGTTAATTAATTAAATCAAATTTAAATTTTAATTTCAGAAATCCTAAAGATTAATTGCATCCATCTTCAGGTATGAAGAGCAGATTTACACATTTGCGGCTGAGCTGAAGATCTCATCATGTCCTACCTTGTGGTGTGCTGATAGCTCTGCCATCAAAACCCCCCTTTGAAGATCCTGTTGGAGCAATCACAACGTAAAAGAGCTTCAGATCTTCAGAAGTAGTGCACAGTCAAAATGGTCAAGGTAGCTAATAAATAGCGGAGACAAATGTTGCATAGCTATAAACAGTAACAGTCATTCTGAATTCATGAATTTTGTCCATTTTGAGCCATGAGAAAACGAGAAAACACACAAAACTATTCCTTTAAATCTTTGTGACAACAGCACTGATACAATATTGTAGACAAAGAGAGAAAACACAGACTGGAGTCAGGAGTGGGAATAAATGAACCACCCATTGCATGAATACTTCACTTTTAAATTCATTTATATTTTCAGCAGAAAAATACTGTTGGTGTGTGTTTTACCTGAACAGATCATGCTCTGCGAACCTCGTCTTCCCACAGGAGTCAGCATACCAGCAAACGTACGACGCCTGAGCGGAGGGGTGCAGAGAGGGAGAGAGAGTGAGGGAGAGAAACTGTGTCATATATGTATTTGAAGGAACATAGTGACAAGAGCATTGAATCCTGACCCGTCATCATTTTGTCATGCTTGCTGTAAGAATCCAGGAGAGCTTTGGGTCTGAGCTGACAATCACTCTCGGACTCTGTTTAACCACTGAGTTATAAAGCCTAAAATGTTTTGTCCTACATACATTTCTCCCCAAAATAGCACCATCATTTGAACAACAAGGCTGTTCTGTGGTCAAACAGAAATAACATTCACCAAACATCCTGCACAAATCAAGTAGCAGTAGTAGCCCACAATCCCAGAAGCTGGTGTTGTAATATAAAATACAATAACATATCAAACAGTTCAAATTATTAACTGGTTTAATTAGCATTACTTTGTGTAGTAAATCATGATTAACCTCAATTATTTGACCATAAAAGTATTTTTGTTAAAGCCATTTTGCAATCATTTTCAATGTGTGAACGTTCATACTTGTATCACATGTATCATGCAGGGTGTTTGTATTACATTAATTCCACAAAAATGGCTTAGATCTGGAGCCCTTACTTAGGCATGCTGTTGACTACAAAATAACGTGAAACCTCAAAACCGCAAAGGTCTAATGATTAATCTTCCACGCTAAGAACAAACCCACTAGGGTCAGTGTACAGGGACAGAGGGTGGCGTTACCTGAGCATGTCGGCAGACTTGCAGTTGTTTGAGGGTCTCTGAGCAGAGCGAGGGGCGAGAGGAGTGGCAAAGCCTGGCCTGCCGCCAACACCAGCAGCTGGAGAGGCAGCAGCACTGCCCTGAACACAAGCAAGCACACCAGTTACTGTATCAGCGACTGTCTAAGGGGGCCTAGGCTACCTCACTTAGAAGATCCCCCCCCCCGCCAAAAAAATGCCAATGACAATATTAAAAAGTGTTATTTGTTTTGCCCACTTATGATATAGGATGAACCCTAAATCGCTGAATTATGCAAGAAGTTTGCAAAAATTTGGAAAAAAAAAGCACATCCTCTACAGAAAACACAATTCTATACAATTTAATGCACAATTATTGTTTACTTGTTAATTTAGATATTTTTTGCCAATTTAATCTTAGGGCAAAAAACAAAAAACAAACTAAGGCCCATGGAAAAGTGCCACATCTGATATTTTCTTATCTGTTATTATTTTCACGTAGACAATCAAAAAAACATGTCATTTTAAGCAGGGGTTGAACTTTACATATGACTATAGTTGTAGTGAGGGAGGTAAGCTGTACAGGTGACTGTGGTAAAGAAATGGTTGAATACTATGACAAGAAAATCTCCAGTTTTTAGTTATTCCACCTCAGACATCTACGTCTAGTGCTGTACATGGTAAGACCCTGATTAATTGGTCTTTTCTTACTGTAGTATGCTGGAAGTTGTTATCCTAACTAGGCAGGTAAATGCAGGGCCAGCACTCATGTTGTTTTTACAGAGTCAGTGGCCAGTAGTTATCAACCACATTACAGCTATTCTTCTGGGATATAATGCTTTCTAGTTGGTCCCCCCAAGTTGTAACCAGCACCCTCCCCTAAAATGAAAATCAGCTATGTTACTGCTATAAAGATATACATGTCATACTCACTTTAGGTCTGGGTGACAGAGTAAAGTTGCCGAGTTGCTGTGCTAACTCCTGCTGCTCCTGCTCTTTCTGCTTCTCAAACATCTTCAGGTTGAACTCCACCTCTGCGGCCAGCTGCTCGTCTGCGGCAAACAGCTCCTTCACCTCTGTGCGATAGTCCTGCATGGTCACCTACAACACAAAAAACGCAGATTTGTAAACTCACTACTCCATCTGCTGGCTGCAGTGAAAACATTTAGAATCTATTCATTTTGCCATGGGTACATTTTTGATCAAACATACTCAAAACAGGAGCTTTTGTGAAATCCTGTGACAATACAAGCACCCAGGAATACAAGTTAACAGCAGAATACTTTGCTGAGCAATACAACTGCACAGTGAAGTACAAAACCCATGGCTTAATGCCAGCTCTGCTTTGTGGGATGTGAGACCACCCCTGACAAATTAAATGTTTTATTGATTTTTCAAGTAAGAAAAAATTATAACACATCCATTGCAGGGTTTAGACTTAAACATTGCATTTTTCCTGCACATTTTAGTGCACAATTTCTATTCATTAGCTTAGCCTGACATGTGAAAAAGTCAACTAATAATGTGTCTTAACTTTGGCACAAGTCACATTTTATGTTCCTTAGCTAAAAACATTAGTATTAGTATCTTCAGTCATGAATCTTGTTTGAACTTCTGTGCAGTTTCATAGGTCGCTTGACACATTAGTGCTACTTTATGTATCTTTGTTGAAAAGTCATCTGTCCTGTTAACCTGTGACAAGTCATACCTGCAGGTAAGCCATGAGATGTTTGAGGACAGGTGAGCGGTGCTCCTCCAGCATGTTCTTCAGAGCGATGACCATGGGAATCACATTCTCCACAAAGTTCTTTTTCTGCACCTGCTCACAGAGAACACATGCAGCTTTACACAAAACTCACAGTAGATATGGACAAACTCACACAAAGCATTAATAAAAAACAATATACATGAACATTACCAGTACAACAGACATAACAGTCAAATTAATATTTACTTACTATTTTCAATTAAATGACTATACTGATTATCCAGGATTATCAGTGGCTACAAGATTCAGTACACTGGATGGTGACATGCCCAGTTTATTCTATATATGTGGAGGGTGCAGTCTAGCCGTTCACTCACAACAGCATAAACCAGCATGACAGTTAGCATTATTAGCTAGCTAGCTATTTTTAGTGTTGAAGTTACAGAGAGTATGAGTTTGAGGAAAACCTAAGATAGATTTCTTGCCTATTGTGTACTTTGTGTGTGTTGATGTGTGTATATGGGCTATACAATCTGACCTGTGAGACAAGCTTCTTCTGCAGGACTGCTTTGGCTGCAGCCATTTCATCCTCAGGGGGCTCGTCACCGGGGGCAGGGCCGCTCATAGCGGTCAGCTTTATCTCTTTCAAAGACAGAACGTCGAACACATCGGCCAGCAGCTCGGCCCCCTCTGCGTCCAGAGGCAATTCTGAGTCCACAAAGCAGGCTGTGGAGGACATTGGAGAAAAAAGGTGGATTTTTAAAAATTGAAATTAGCTCAACAAAAACATACATATTGTATTACATTTTATTCTAACTGATTATAACAATTCTAACATTCAAGCATTTTCTACACCCTTAATATGCACACTTACCGAGGATATCTTGACTGATTCTGGTAGTGATATTAAAGCGCTGTTCATCAGTGAAGTTCTTCAGTAGAAATCTGTAGATCCTGAAACGCTTGCCCTGGTTCATCTGCCCTTTGAGGGAAAACTTGTTCTTCTGACTGTCAGACAACATGCTTACTGTCAGGATTGAAATACTTTAACAGTGAACAATATAGTCTAAGACACAACAATGCCTTGTTACTTTAAATTCACAGGAAATCTTGTAAATGAATTTCTGAAAGGGGAAAAAACTACACTTTCCGTGTTGTACAACATCTATACCATGCAGGAACCATAAATTATCAGAACATATTCATTGATTTTGCACTGATTTGAAATTTCTTGGTGCAATAGTGCTTCTGGACGTCTAATTAAATTCCCACAAATTCTTTCACATGATGATATTTCATCATGGTGATACATTTTGTCTTGATAAATAACATGCTTTTCTGTATTTAAAATATTGAGAAACTGCATATTTCATTATAAAGAGATTAATCTTGGCAGTTTTAAATGTGGTGCTATACTCTCTAGTGTGTTGTGTCTCAAAATATTTTCATTTCAGTATCATTTTTGTGATATTGCCCACGCTTACTTTCACATATACATCAGACAAAAAAACAAAAAAAAACAAAAATAAAAAAAACAGTGCTGCATGACGATACATTATAATCATAAGGAATTCCATTCTAGATATAATAAAGGTCCAATGTTGCATGGTATGCATTTACAACCATACACTTAAAATGGTTAAGAGCCTACCTCTCTGTCTCAGGGAATTTGTTGTATTTCTTATGCTTCTCATAAGAGTTGAAATAGAAGATACACTCGATGAAGTGCTGAGAGAACATCAGAGGGTTCTTCTTCAGGAGGAGGTCCACTAAGCAGTACTCACAGAGACTAAACAGCAACAGCAAACATACTACTCAGTACAATTGAATTAGACAGTGCTATCAGGTATCCATATGCCTAAGTCTTGGTATTAAAAGGATAGAATAACTGCTCTATAGAATAAATAGCTTTAATAACTCCATTTAAAAATAAGCAACAGTAAAAGTGGAATCTGTAAAAGGTAACATTTTGTGACAACTACAAAAAGAATTTTGCATCAGTCACGTTGCATGTTTGTCTATGTGTGTTCTCACTTCATAATCTGAAGACTTACTCTGCAATTGATGGATCAGGGTCCACTAGCGCAGCAGCAAACCGATAGAACAGGGAACCCTTCCATTTGACAAACTCTTCCTGAAACAGCACAGATACGGACAGTTTAAATCACATCCTTAGCTTCGCTTCACCATCCACAGCCTGCTCTCAACTACTGCACAGCGAGGGACTAAAAAGAGCAGCTTGGTCAGCATGTTGAAGGTGAAAGTATATGTGGTATCTTCACCAGCAGCGGGACAGAGAACATAAATATGTACACTACAGGATGAAAGTATGTGAAAAGTCTGAATAAACAGAAAAAAAGATGGGATGCACGAATACAGGTATTGTGGGTCGATGCTGGCATCCAATCTTTTTCATCTACCGATACATTAGCATTAATGAGTGTATATGACTACATTCATCTGAATTAGCATTATGAAGAAATAACATCTACAGGTTGGGTGACTCTAATCAAAGCACATTCTGCTGATTATACATCCTCTATACAGAACACACTTCTGTTCATTTTAATGCATAATTTATTTATTTTAGTTAGTTTGCTAAATTTAACATTTTGAAAACAAATAAGCAAATAAATGTGGGCTGTGCAAAATTTATGGCACATTTTAGGTTTAATTTTTTCCAAATATGTTAAATTGAGAAATTGTTCACTAAAACGTTCTTTAAGTAAAGTGTGTTCTCTGTAAATGATGTGTTAATTTATTTTCAGTTAGAAAATCAACAAAACATGTAATTTGACTGGGGAGCTCAAACTTTTGCAAATGACTATCATTGTGCAAGAGCAGTAATCCCCAGGAGCAAAACAAATGAAGAATCAGTTAGTTGTACAATGTTAGTGTACGCATTAGCTCAAACTATTTTGTGCCATGTTAAATAACAATCGTTACTGTTAGTGCTGGGTAATATTGACCAAATGTAATATCATGATATTTTCACAGCATTACAGTATGCCATTAGGTTAAGTTGCCATTAACATATTTTTTCCTCTTAAAATGATACTAAAGGATATCTTACATAGTATTGTGAATGTTGACCAGACAGAAAGCACATTTCCAAAAAACACGTATTATTTAATTTTTAAATATATTAATTTGTTATGTGATTTTTTTCATGGATTTGTTGGTCAAAACAATCATGAGTAAAGTTAAGTAAAATAAAAATACAATTGTAAAGCTAACAATGAACCACTTGGCAGCAGGGAATGGAATATGTTATGGGTATTATATAATGGAAAAAATCATCATAGTAAGTCAATATCACAGTATATTGGTACAGATGATCATCCAGCTCTAAATACAGACCATTATTCCTTTTAAAAAAAATTCTTGTTATTCTTGTTTCCAAATGTTTGGATGTTCTAAATGTGTGTTCTTTGCACCTGCAGCAGGTTGGTGAGCATGATGAGGGTCTGCTCTCTGATGAGGGGCTCTGCGTCTTTGAGGCAGGCTGAGATGTTGGGGATGTATCGGGTCAGCGTGTTCGGGTAGCGCACGCACAGGTCACACAGCACCACCACCACGTTACTGCGCACGGCCAGCTCCCTGCCCACCTCCAACTCCCGGGCAAACGCAGGCAGGTACCGCACCATCAGTTCCTCATGCTGCAAACACAGCTTCCCTGGGGAGAGACAAGGAGAGAAGGAAGGAGGAAAAGAGGGAGTGTGAGAGAGTTCATAAGCACCATAAAAGCTGAATTACAGTGTACTAACTCTTACAGTCTGGACCCGTCAGTGGGCATTTAAGAAGTCAAAACATATAGAACACATATAGTATACTATATATACACACACTACAAAAATCTTAGTTAAGATAGCTATACGCACACTGTGAAACATATTAAAATGCATTACAATGTATTAAAAGCACACTGGGCAACCCCTTGATATGAGGTGATAACACTGGACTGCATTATTGTAAATGCTCTGTTTTGATGCCTGACAAAAAAATAGCAAAAGGTAACTGGCATCCGCCTCATTCCTGCGTCCAATTATAACTTATGGACAGAATTTTTGGCAAAGAGTAAACAAAACATCCTAACATGATAGAAATGTAAAAATAAATAGAAATAAAAATAATCTTTCTGTTGGAATACTTGTGAGCTCATGTTTGAAACTGATCTGTCAACAGAAATCGGAACCTGTGTGAGAGAAATGCTTTAGTCAGAGGATCCTACCTATAACATACCTATAACATAAAATAATTTCTCACACTAATAAAGTCATTTCAACTATGTAATAGTGTTTACACAGAGTCAGATACATGTAGAAAACCATAGAGCAATGTCATCGCATAGTAACGTCTAACGTAGAAATATATATATTTTTTTTACACAAATGCTTTGACAAACATAATTTTCTTTGTATGTTTGAGTTTCTAAGTAGCTCCTTTAAAAGGACCTTGAAATCTTTTATTATTGTAGTGTTAGCCTGTTAGCTTTCTGTTGATCTGCTCAGTCTACTCTAGTGAGGGCAGAATATATTCAGTTATAAAGAGAATATAAAGTGTAATCCAGTTAAAGAGAGTTGATTAGTGATGTTTAACTGTCAGTTCATCATCTGGTTGCATTTTATGGGCCCAGATTTCAACACTAACAACTGGGCTTTTTCAAGAATCATCATGAAGCCACATTCACTTCTCTGCTGAAGCTCTACACTTTTATTCTCATAAAACTGCTGCTACTGCCATACTTTCATCTTCACTAGGCTGTACTGACAGCTGCAAACTGGACGTTGTCCAAGAATGCCTCAGAGACATTTAATGGGGCAAAATGATAATTTAAAAAGTAAGCACACGATTTTTGACTTGGCTTTGACAAAACACAGCGGTCATGTAAAAAATATGTACAATACATATTGTAGTCTTCTGTAATATCAGTATTTCAAAGACAGAAACTGTATCATAACAATTAATAAAGAATATATTGTGCAGCCCCACTTAAGATATGCATATTATGGTGAAGCTTTACAGATAAAAGTTTTGCCTTTCAAACAGCTTTAAATAGTAACCCTATCAGTATCAACATAATGGCTATACGTGTGTAGCAAGATAGATTTGTGCTATTGTGTATCATACCTAGAGTAATGACTGCATGAGCTCGGACCACAGTAGGCATAGAGGACGACTTGAACTGAGACAGAGGCTGACTCGCTGGCAGCTCCGCTCCTTCTTCAGAACCTGTGGGTGACACACAGAATACATACCCATTACAAACACAACCACTATAATTGTTCATGGTCTCTGAACAAGTCATTGAGACACATGCAGTAGCTCAGTCTAATTAAAATCTAAAACTGTCTGAACTGAACTGAAAGTGGAGCAACTCACTACAACTGTCTCTATGCTGGTAACACATTCAGTCAAAATGTTACAATGAGAACTTCTTATGGTAAATGGATAGACAAATGGAAATAAACACACCTGGCTGCTCAGAGGAAGTAAGAATGGACTGAACGAGAAGGAAAACTCTCTTCTGCACTTTGGCAGGACAGTGTAGGGAGGCTACACCCAAAGTGTACAGATATTTAACCTGAGAGAGAGGGAGAGAGAAAGAGAGAGAGAGACTCAATGGCTACCACGATTAATCTATTACACGTTATGGGTGGGGAGGGGGGCTTTTTGAAAATGTACCTACTTGTTTCATACTTTGATTCTCATACTTTATTTTCAATAGAAATTCGTTTCTAAAGGCTAATTAATTATCCATTTTGTGATGTGTGAAATATTAGCAGTACATTTAACTATAAATATTTACAATAGTGACCACCCTAATAAAAACAAAAGGTGTGTGTGTGACAGAAGAGCAGAGAGTTTGAATAACTCAGACGTTCTGTGCTCATTTGCCCTTTCATGTCTTCAGCCAAGTACCAGTTTGTGTGGTGTTGAAACAAACTGCTCTCTCGACAGATCTAAGATCAGTTTCTGTAGTTTCATGTGAACTGGTAGTGAAACAATTACTGAGCAGGAGCTGATCTCAGGTCGGTGCTCAGGTCTTACCAGCAGCTCTTCATTCAGGTTCTCTGCTCCTCTCTCGTTCAAGAGGACGCTGGACAGATATTCCTCACAGAGCGAGACAAGCTCTCCACAGAACTGATTCAAGAAGGCCTGACAAAAACAAACACATTCACAACCACACAGTCAGAATCATTCAGAATGCAGCATGAAAGAAATGTAGAAGGTTTACAGAGGCTCTGTTAACGCTTGCAATTAACATCTGATCACCAGCTTAGTAAATACACAGCACTTGCAATATTCATGCTTAGATGCAGATTGTTTTCTTTCTCCATTTAGATACTGACCAGATCTATTTTCTCCATGCAACATGTACCTTTTAAATGAGACTGGTACAGAGCTGGAGCAGAGCAGGCAGCTATGTTATGTTTAAAGAGTCAATATCATGGACTTCACCTCACTTTTTAGGGTCATAAGTGGAAACAATGCTGCAAAAACAGCCCATTTTTAAATCACCCGTTTGTGCTGTCACATTTACATATAATCGCTAACTCAACCCACTGCAGTTTAGCTCCAACTCTTCAGTTATAATGAGTGTTTCAGTCAAGGTTGCTTTTTTGAATGAGATACAAAACAGGGCAGCCAATCAGTACAGAGGTCATTTACTTGTATCAGGCTTAAAGGCAAAAACAGCCTGTTTAATTCTAAGGGCTAAAGATAAGTTAGAAAATGTTAATGTAAAATTAATATAGACTGTTTTTGGTACGTAAAAGCACAAGTGTTAGAAGTGGACCTGGAGTTTAACATGGCTCAAGAAAAGTGTAGGATATAAGCCCTATTCATCGGAACATTTTAGATTTGTAGCTTGGTTCTCTTTGTCCAAACCAAATCAGAAAATCATACAAGGTTGCATTTTAGTTCTGGTTCTCTACAAGTTCATACTAACAAATTTAACTTTAACCTCAACAATGCAAACTTAAAGTCATTCGTTCATTAACAAACAAACACACACCACTGATTAGACAGATTTTGACATACATTTGGCAACAATAACTAGAATGACATCTCCTGAACTTCCTGAATCACGTTGTATCACACATTTGCGTGTTTAACTGGCATCAGAAATGGGTCTGCTGAATGCAGCAAAAAAGGTATGTAGAGAGGAGATGACTGTTCATTCAGTTTGGTGAGGAGAGACATTTTTGTATTCAAACTCATACTCAAATTCAAAATTGCACCAGAGTCTGTTCAGCAGCGGACAAGACAGTCCTAGTCAGGGAGTCTTGGACCGCTTACTTGGGTCACACAAGGGTTTGTGTGGTTTGTTCTAATGTCCCGCACAAACACAGAAATGGCAGAACAGAATCAAACCAAATCTGCCAAGTGTGAACACACCCTAAAACATTTCATCAAGCATGTAACTGGTTTTAGCACTGCACTAAAAGTCTTTAAAACGCATGCAAGTCTTTCAAATGTACATAAGGACATCATCCGGATACAGGACGCAAATTAATGTGAATTGTAAACAGGCTAGATTGTGACTCAGGTATATAAAGATTAATATTTAAATGTTACCATGGTGTCCTTGGTGTTCTCTGATTGGCCGAGACGGAAGAGGGTTTCTACACTTGAGCTGATCACCTCCAGAGGCAGACTGAAACCCTTCAGCCAACCCATCAGATCATCTGCACACAAACACACATATTCTTATACAATGTCAGGATGTGGGTATATGTATTAGAGACCACCCCTTGAGGTCAAATACCTCCTGCACTTGTTGAGCTACACTAGCTTCCTGTCCATGCTCATACTGATTTTACATACAAAGCGGTTCATGGAACAGCTCCAGTGCATCTCTGTGATCTGGTGAAGGCTTGCTTTCCCTCTTGTTCTTTATGCTCTAACAAGTTATTCATTTTTAGTGTCAGAAAAAAGTAGAAAATATTTAACAGAAAATTACACAGAAGGCTGCAGGCATATTTTCCCACACCTCTAAAGTTGAGTCTTAGAAGTTAGTTACATTTTCTGCTTCTCGTGATCCAAGCAGTGGACAGATGAGAGTGGAGCTTGACTTTCTCCTCTCTCTCAGAAATGAAAGCTTTTTTTAAGCACTATTTACCTGATTGGGACAGTTTTAGTGGTCTACCAGGTCTTGCATGGTTGTTAGGAGTCCTATTTAACTTTTAATAGTTTTCAGAATCATTAAAATATTTAGAGGATCTCTTGCTTTTAACTTGTTTTACTTTTTGGATCATCTTACATCTCATCTCCACATAAAACTCTTCAGAATTTACCTGGAAATTAAATAAATTAAAGGGTGGTCTCTGGCATTCACAGTTCTCTATACATAAGCATCTATATGCAATAACAACAACAAACAACGAGAAGTTACAGAACAATTTGTCCTGCAAATCTATGAAAACATACATACACAAAAGTCTCTGTTGGATTAAAACCCTCCCTCTCCAAAATTTTCAACTTTCTGTGAGAACGAAAAACACTCCTAATTTATAATGGTTATTAAAAGTTAATGTAAAAAGATTTTTTCCAATTAATTTTGAAGCATTTTATTGGTTCATTCATCATGTAAAAAAAAGCAGCTCGACTTTACAAATGTACAAAAATAAATGACAAAAAAAGGGATAAGAGACATAAGAGATTGTCCCGACAGCGACAATACCACAAAACAATACTGTATCTGATTATATACACATTTAAACACAGGTGCGACTCACCAAAAATCCTGCTTTTGGTATCATCATTAATACCAGACGCAATGTCACCAATGACAGTGAGGATATGGCAGGTTGTTGCCACGGAGATCACAGGAGACCTGACAGACATTTAAATAAATAAATAAAATACAATAAATCACTCATTAATTTGTTTATTCACTCACACGATATAACACAAATATTCACTGTCTACACTGCTGGATGTCTGTGAGCTCCAACCTGACGGTGCGGTCCCACGCCTCCAGGATGGTGCTGTAGTTGAGTTTGGAGGAGCAGCGGGCCACTTTAGCCAGCAGGAGCCACGCCCCTGGAGCACGCTCACCCTCAGTGTGCCAGATCAGACTGTTCACAAATGCAGCGGAGAACTTCTGCTGCCTCGCCCACACACTGAAGGCCTTACTGAAGTAACGTCTGCAGAGAGAGAGAGAGAGAGAGAGAGAGAGAGAGAGAGAGAGAAGGAGAGAGGGAGAGAGGGAGAGAGAGAGAGAGAGAGAGAGAGAGAGAGAAGGAGAGAGAGGGGGGGAGAGAGAGAGAGAGAGAGAGAGAGAGAGAGAGAGAGAGAGAGAGAGAGACAAAGTAACATGAGCCAAAGTTTTTAACAATAGTTTGGATCAAAATCACTACTCAAACAAAATCTGTTCTTCAAATCAAGCAGGGCTTTTTGAGCAGGTGCTTAAAAAGTTTAGCTTGGCTATGGGAGAACGCGAAAGCGATTAACATGCAATACCACACTTTTGAATTAAAAACGATCCAGTGTGCAGCAAAGCTAAGCAATGTTATATTGGTCAAACATCTGAACTCCAAATGTCAGCAGGAAAGCTGACTGCAGTCACTTCAAGGTAATCTTGCAGGTGGTCAGAGATGTTATAGTAGGGCTCTGGTGTGGCAGCATGTGAAAACCAAACAAGACAGCAGCATAAACAGATTGTAACAGGGTCCAATAATAGATTGGGCTCAAAATTGTCTATATCTGATTCACTAAAATGTGCCAGGATCAGCCTTGATACTGATACTTCGGACTGGACAGATGCATCTCTAGAAATGACCGCTGCTGACTTTGCCTGATTTCTGCCTGCAGGCCGTGGTCGCACCGACTCAGGGGAGCTTTTCCCAAAAACTAGCTTCAAGGACAGAGCAAATAAACTTTCTTGCCAGTACTTCCTGGAAAGTTATAAGGAATGTTTCGGTAAGCATTTTGTTATATGTCCAGCTGAGACTGCAAGACCAGATATGCTGAGGTATGTAAAAAATTAAAATGTGTTCATGTGTTCACACAGTAAGCAAGCCTATTCCACAAGAATAGGTTTTTACTAAAACTGACATCCTTGTGTAGAGCTGGGCGATACGGCAAAAATGTATCACGATACTTCAAGAAATTTTCACAATACACAAAACAATTCACAATATTTACATTTTCCAAGATTTGTGTTATTCTGTGTTCTTTAAACACTGAGGATATCCAATATGTTCAGAAAAGCGAAACGTGACATAATTTATCATGATAACAATAAATTACTGTCATATTGCCCAAACATAGCCTTGTGTAAATATGATGTTTAGTCTACCCTTTTGCTGACTGTTGCTAAATGTACTCAAATGCACAGTTTTGCACCTAGCTAGCCAGTTAACAGTGTTTACAGTTTAATATTGCTAATCAGAACTGAATTTGAAGAAAGACAGGAAAGACTAGAGTACCCAAACTCTTGATAGTCAGTGTTTGCCAGCCAAAAAAAGTGAGAGAGAGGGAGAGACAAACAGAAACAGATAGAGAGAGAGAGAGATAGACAGACAGAGAAACAGAGAGAGAGAGAGAGAGAGAGAGAGAGAGACACAGACAGACAGAGAAACAGACAGAGAGACAGACAGAGACAGAGAGAGAGAGAGAGACAGAGAGAGAGAGAGAGACAGGGAGAGAGACAGACAGAGAGAGAGAGACTGAGAGACTGACCCAAGGTCCTGACACTTGTCACATATCAGTCCCAGCAAGTCCCAGGCCAGTTTCTGGGAGGTGTTGTCATGGCGATAGCTGCTGTGGCTCTTGATGTGAGTAAGAATGATGTCATCAAGGCATTCAAGAGCCTTCTCCTGCACTGAGCTCTCAGAGTCAATCACTGCGGGAACCACCCCTCGCAGCCACGCCTCCTGCACCTCAGAGCTGTCTGACAGCACCTGTTACACATGCATACATACACAAAATAAGAGCTTAAACATTAAAAGACAGTAAGATGTGAACATTACTTAATATTATTTTACAAGTTATTACAACGTGTGCACACTTACTGTAATTACTGTAACTCAGGATTATTTTGCTCTTTAACAGATGTGAAGCTTTCAACAGGTACAGACATTTTTTGTGTTAAATCTTAATGTTTAACAAAGAAAAAGTGACATTGGCCTTTGTGAAGGGGAAATGCAGCAATATTCAAATATTAGAGTGCACAATACAAATAACTAAATTGAGGAAATTAAATATGCTTATCAAATGATAAATATAACTAACATAAATACAACTAACAAAATTTAACAAAACATTTTAGACTTTCAAAATATTCAGTTACCAATAAAGCCACCATTACTTGAATCTTGAAATTTCAGACTGATTCTTAAGTGTTTTTTTCGCCTTGCTGACCTTAGCAATGCCTCTGAGCACTAGACACCTTGTATTTTGAGAGATTCTAGGACTCCTGGAGGCTTCATGTTTAATTCTTATTTTATTTGGGTGGATTAAAGTCTGTCGCAGCTTTTCTTCAACACATTTTTGCCAATCTTCTGACTTTTATTAACAAATTGCTTGACTTTGTGAAGGTTGTGCTCCAACAGTATGGCAACTTCAGTGTTACCTAATCATTATGCAAACCCAAATTTAATGTATATAAGCAACGCTCTCACTCTTGAAGCAGTTATATCACCTGAAAATGTTTATTGATAGGTTGATCTGAAAAACCTGCTTGATCATAACTTACCTAATAATTATTCACAAACTAAACAGACTATCAAGTATGTTTCCCATCAAGCAGGATTATTCGCTGTTAAAGATCAAAGCCGCATTAATTCAATCACACAGATATTCAGTAACACTGTTTTATCACTCAGCCCTACTTTACACTGATTCTAGACACACTAGGGACATTTCTTGATAAGACGTTGCTATGAAAAAGGAATATGGTGCACTGGTAATTACTGAAAGTATAAAATAAATGAGCTCACAGTGAGCAGGTCCATGAGACACTGCATCGCTTTCTTCTTCACAGACACTGCAGGGTCTCGACAGCGCTCTGAAAGAATGGCCAGATTCTCCAGACTGCATGGGATCACACCGTGCTTCAGCAGACTCATGATAGTCTACATGCACAAGGACACAAAAACAAATGAATAACTATTCTGTAGACAGCCAGAGTCCAGTAACAGAAATCTTAATTTACTTTTGAGTGAAGAACTCTCATCATATAAGATTTCCAAATCATATGTGTGTTTGTAAACATACCTCAAGCGCACATTTTCTGACATTGGTCTTAGGATCACTGACACGCTGTTTGAACAGTGCCATGGTTTCTTGATCTAAAGGGAAAAATAAAGAGTTCATTAAACAAACAGATTAAAAACATATACAACATATCTTAAGTATCCAGACATCCCCTTGCTAAAGAACTGGGCATTTTAAAGGGGAATTCCACTGTTCCTTCAAACGTTCTGCATTATTGAAAGGAGAAGAGGCAAACAAAGTCATTTAGAGTGGTTTGATACGAAATGATATGAAGTATTAAAATGAGCCGTTTAAAAAAAAAAAAGCTTACTGAAAGGTTTAAGGTTTAAGTTTTTGCCCTAAAATGTATTTTCTTTACTCACTAATAGTGGAGAGGTACACACAAAGTGCTGTGAGGCAGCATTTTTGTTTAATTTTTTTAACCAGCAAAACTACACAGAAAACTACATGTAAAAATGCAATTTCACTGGTTATTTCTGATAGCAAATACAACAGCAATATATAAACACTAGCCATGTTTACATGCAGCCTAATGAATAATCTGACTAATAGCTCAATCGGAATAGAATACATGTCCATGTAAACACCTCAATCAGAATAGTCTAGTCCAATTGAGGCCATTCGGAATAAAATTTCTCTCCGATTGAACGAGGCGGGTAATCCTATAAATAATCTGTTAAATAGAAGAATAATAGCCATGTAAACATCTGTATCTGATTACATTACCAGTCGGAAAGTTAAAGTACGTTCTGCGCATGTTCGTTCACATCGTAGCGAAAGGTTATAACGTTCAACATGGCGGGAGCAGAAACTGGTCTGCAGAGGAGACGAAGTTTATGCTCTGATATTTAAAAGACGGCGGTGGGACGGACGTCCAGCTTATGTGTCTCAGAACACGACGTCTTCCTCTCGCCCTTCTTTAATAAGGACATGTGAAGTACATTTTTGAGTCGGTCATAATTTTAAAGCAATTACAAAAACAAGCTTGCCACTCTTACTGGACCTCATGAGACGCTCGTTGTCACGGTAACGTCTACTCTAAGTGGTACTCTACGCATGCACGTCATTTTGGATCCGATTACTTGTAGTGTAAATGTAAACAGAGATTTTCATCAGACTATTGAATAGAGTCTGCATAAAAACACCTCAGTTTTAATCTATAATCAAAATTAATTCAATCAGATTGGCAAAAATCTTTGCATGTAAACAGAGACACTGTAAAATCTGAAATCTGAGTCAGTAAATTTCTCTATAATGGCTCATTTCATATCAAACTACTCCGACTGAATTGTTTATATCTCAACTATTGAATTTCTCTGGAATTCTGAAAAATCAGTGGCATTCTCTTTAAAGACAAATCAGTTGCTGGCATGTGTTATATTGCTTTCACAGTCATAGAACCTCAATAGAAAAGCAATGCGATGCTCATACGCAATGCCAAGTGTGGGTATAAAGCCGTCCCAGCACTGGGCTGGGGAGCAGCGGAACTGTGTTCTGTGATGGAGCTCCACTGAGTACCTTTGGAATGAGCTGAAGTGACATCTGTGATCCAAATTCAATCATTGAACATCAGTACCTGCCCTCATTAATGTTCTTGTGGCTGAATGCAATCAAATCCTCACTGCAATGTTCCAACATTTTAGTGAAAAGCCTTTCAGAAGAGTATTGGCTGCTGCTTTTGCAATATGGAGCCCAAATTCTAATTATCACCCTTGCAGAAATGTTTGTAAGAGAAGGTACTTGGATTCTTTTAAACATGTATTGGTGTGTAAGTTAGTGTGAACAGTATAAACAGCACTTCTAGTTGTGATGGGTGTTTAAACTGACATTCTAAGGACGTAGTGTTGTGGCTGACGCCGTCAGCGCTGCCATCACCACTGCCGTCACCGCTGCGGCGGCTGGCCCCTGCAAGGCTCTTGTGTTTGCTCAGCTCAATTGTGCGGAACGTCAGGGCCGTTTTCTGAGCCATCTCTGTCCTTTTCAGAGTTTCTGAGAAAACAAACAAACAAAAAAGAATAAATACATACACTAATACATAAATAAATAAAAACCCTTCTATGACTAAAGAGGACAAAATAATTAACAAACATACAACGTATGAGAAACCTTGTCTAAGCTGTAATAGAACATTTGTACTACAGTCAATGTGTTGTATTAATAATTGTTATTATGCTTACGTTCTGAACGGCCAGTTTCCAGCAGAGTCTGTGCGCCAGCTGGGAAAGTAAAAACACCAAACAAAATCAGTCATCATTTTAAAAAAAACAAAACAAAAGAAAAACACACTCAATCACAGACAGCATATGTGAGTAAATATGGATACCTAGGCCACCCAAATAAGATTTACATTAAAAAAAATGACTAGTAATAGTATAGCACTGGGAGTAGAAAGAGAAGCATAAAAGTAGTAATAAGAGAATCAGTACTAGTAGAGTCATTCATAAAATAGGTGTAGCAGTAGTAGTATTAGTAATATCATTTATGATCTGTGTGTTTGACAGAATTTTTGTGCGAGCGTACGTGCACAACAGTGCAGTGTATCATTTTAACAGTACAGGCAGGGTAGCTACTAAGTGAACATAGCTAATAAGCAAGATGACTAATCAGCTAATTTGACTTTAGTCTTGTGCTTTAAAAGCTGCATTATAATTGTCAGTTAAAATGTCATGATCATGATAGCCCTGGTATTTGTTTTACTATTAATAGTACTAACAGCAACAGCAGTAGTAGAGGTGTATACATGCATCAGTGCACTGTGATGCATTGATCTGAAGTTGGCAATTCATCTGCAATAATTTCCGAATGTTAGAATCAATTATAATCAATAGTTGTGTAATTGATTTCACCCGGCTGATACCAAGATAATAAAATTGAATCAAAATGTGGTGAAATTTAAGATTTCATGAAGCACTAAATCTGTATGAGGCATTTACATGATTGCTTTCTTTGTAACTTATATTTTTGACCACTTGGGGGCACTGTAAAGCTCTAGGCAGAAAGTGTCTGGAGGCAAGGAAGTCGTATTTCAATCAAACAGTCATACACTCGCTCATAGGCTGGTTTGAGAAGCGTTTGTTATGATCCCTCTTGCACTTATACGTGCTCACAGGAACCTTATGAATAACCAATAAATGCACATGCATATCCAGAAGTACTGAGGGATGTGGACATGTGGTTCAATTTCCACTTGACAACAGCAGGTCAAAGTGCCAAACACTGACCAGCGAACTATTAGGTTTTGTTTTGTAAGAAAGTGACCACAGAATCATTGTCTAAGGGGGATATTTACACGTATAGTGACCGAAATAACAGTAACAAAAGAGTGGAATTATGTACTGGTAGAAGATGAAGAGAAGAGCTCGTGGATCCACTTGGTGGCGTTGTGGGAGGGCAGCTCCAGGCACTGTGCAAGACAGTGCAGGGCGTGGCCTCTGACGGTGGGCGAGACATCAGAACGGCGGCCGAAGACTATGTTGCGCACCAGGAAACGGTGGGACAGGTAGACGGCCAGCTCAGGGCCCAGAGACTCATCTGCTTCTCGCTCGTCCAGCCCCAGCAGCACCATAGCCACGTCCAGAGCAAACATCCGGAAGACCACCTGCAGGCACAAAACACAGAGCGTGGAGTGAAACCTCCATGACTTCATTATTTAGTTTATATAAAGCTGAACTTTATATGATTTGTTTTTGTTAAAACTCATAACTGAGTAAGGAGAAAAACACAATGCTAAAATATGGTGTGTGCACTTCTGTGGGTCTGCCTGCAAAGCCCTGAAATAATAATTTAAAAGTCAGAGGTGTTGGGTTGGATTTCACCCACCTCTAACTGAAAGTTCAGAATCTGTACTTTCAGCAGCTTTCAGTTATATTTCAACCAAGCTTCAAGTGAGAAAATTATTAATATAAAATTACAACATGCTTTTGTTTTAGGGTTCATGACTGAACTGCTAGGCTACAGAGGTGGAGGTGGTGTTGTTTATTCTTTTAGTTCTAATATGGTGCTTCTTCAGAGCTACTCAGTCAGAACTGTAAGAGGGCATTCCAGCCTAAAAATAGGATTTAATACGTTGTTATGCAGTCTTCTGTAGTGTAGCACTGCAACCCCAGCATCATCATTTTCTGTATCTCATTGTGCAAATACATCACACAACCATCGGAAACCCCTACAGTCCTCCAGTCAACAAATCCTGAATTCTAGCCCAGCTACTAACATAAAGGCTGACACACATCTGTGGTGCTTGCTAGCATTAGCAAAATAGTATTAAAGGGCCCACATCCTGCATATTTCTTGCATTTTATTGACACAGCATTTGTGTGGATTTTTATCTGAATCTCAAACCACTCTAAATCCATTAGATTTAAACAGGCTGCTTTTGTAACTGTGCCTTTAAGACTGATGTATGTAAAGAATCTCTGTTCTGATTGGCTGCCCTGTATTGTGCCTCATTCAAAAGGCACTATGGACTTCAAAATTCACTAAATTGCATGAATGGGCAGGGCTAAACTGCTGTAGGCCACTGGGCCAAATTGGTTGACATTTTGAATGTGTCGTTTTTTGTAACATCGAAGTGGAAAAAAAAATAATATAATAATAAAAAACTAAAAACTAACAAACAAACAAACAGGCTGAGAAATGAATGCTAGGTTTTGAAACATTAGCAATGTGTACTTACATCACATAAAACTCTTACTTCACACAAGGGAGGAACATTCAGTTTTTTGTTTTTTTTTTTTAAATAAGGGCCCTTTAAGCTCAAACAGTCATCGAGCAAAACATTTTTTTTTCTTTTGACAAAGAAAATTTATCTCTACTTTCAAGACAACATCAGAGGGTAGTTTTCTCGTTTTTAAACAGTGAAATCTGGTTTTAGAGACTACTGTGGCACTACTGTCAGAAGCAAGTAGGCAAGTTTACAACAGCTGTAGTGATGATTAAGTTTTGTATTTTGGTCAGAGAGTCTCTAAAGTCTTTGTGAGCGACTCACCCTGGTGTTCTGAGAGTAGTTATATAGCCACTTGACAAAAACGGCATAGTCCTGACTCGGCATCTTCGTCATCAGCTTCCCAACAGCTTGAGCTCCGCTGGCACGATATTCAGCTTTTTCCACCATCTGTAACAAACAAAACACTCAAAACAATGCTCTTTGTTGGAATAATAAGATCGATTTTGCTCTAACTGATCTATATAATATAAAGCAATCAACCAATCACAGAACTGATCTACCAAAAAACAAAAAAAAAGTCTTCCTGGCTTGTTACTTCTTTCAATTTTAACAAACAAAAAAAAATGCAGTTTAAAGTGTCCTCTAGGCATTCCAATGTGAGAAACACAATCCATTCTTATATGCTGTAACATACATTCTTTAATATTACACAGTCACCCATCAAATTTTGCTTTATTGCTTTATAGAAACTTAATCTGTTCTAACATACCTGGTGGCAGATATGCTGCAAAAGGATCCTGAGCAGTGGCAACGTGGCTTCCGTCTGCTCATCCACAATTTGACTGCAGAACGCATACAGAAAAACATTGAGAGCATTTAACATATTACACAAGCTACATTTACACATTTTGACCTTACGGTTTCCTTCATCCAATACAAATAAGATTCAAAAATTGTTCTAGTTAACTACTTCAGTCAGTTGGATGGAACTACAAAATACAGCATTCCTTTACTGAACCTTACAGGAAACAGAATCTTAACAATACGATAAAATATGAAAAAGACAAGTTAAAAAACCAAGTTAACCTTATAAAGAGAACAGCCTGGTCTCTGGCTTTAAAGACAGTCTGTGAGGACGCTAGTAGGCACGGCTTGGCTCTCTCCTCTTTCCTCATCATCAGAATCACGTATAGCAGCCGGTGGAAGACACGACGGCGGCACTGCAAAGCACCAGAGAGCATTCTGAAATGTCACACTCATTCAATAGCATCCTACTGTAGACATTAAGAGGTTTACTTGACACAGTGAAGACAGTATAGGCTGTCCCAGTAACAATAACTCTCCCTCCCTCACTGTGCAGTAAAGCAATACAATGCAGCAGGTTGTGGGTTTGAGTCCCAGTAAAAACAAACCACTGATACACCTGGTATATTCACTGAAGAACGGCAAAAAAAATATGGGGGAACACTTTATTGTAGGCCAACGTTTGTAAGGCTACATAACACCTACATAAGCCCTGCATGACTACTAATATAAACCTCCATAAGCATTTCTAAAGGCTTGTTCCAATAAGCAACAGTTGTCATAAACGCTGCTCTTGTCATTGTCAGGTTGATTAATCACCTATATTAATTGACAGGTTTGTGCTGACATTGGATGTTATGACACGTTATTACAACTGACTTTGGGTTTGTCTAACATAACACTGATTAGCCTACAATACAAATTCATAAGTGAGTCTGAAACTGATGCCATCATGACATAACTACGTATATTATCTCTGCCCCTTAAGTGAGTATCATATTTATGCTTATAAATGATTATTATGCTTATTCATGCTCATTATGATTTTTATGAAGCCCTGTAGCAATGTCATCACACTGCCTTAATTTGATATGAGTATAAATCTGATACGAGTATAAAGAAAGTAATATTCTGGGAGTAGCACTAAAGAAAAGCTGCTAGTTACTGTAGGACGAATATGAAAATACACACACTAGTGCACATACGACCCACCTCATTTCCTTCACCGTGACTGGAGGAACAGAGCAGCCAAAGGCCACGATAGGCTAGCTCAGGAAGGCTCTCCAGCCGGTCAACATCTCTGATAAGACAGAAAATAAAGTGTTTGAACGGCAGAAAAAGTGGAACCAACAGGTGCTGAAGAGTATATGTGCATTCTGTCTGGGGACACTTGCCGTTTCTCAGTGAAGGACAGCTCTCCAACTACTGGCTCAAAGTTAGTGAGTTCAGTGAATATCTGCAGAAAGACAGGAACGTCAACACCAGACTAGATCACACAGACTAAACCACTGCAGTTTAAGGAATCTTCGCAGACAAGCAGCAGAACTAGTCCAATCAGCTACAATACAACACTGTGCAGATACGTCCCTTGCCTTGTATACACTGGAGTTTGGCATGTTTCCCTGTACTTAGTAAAACAGGGAAACCTGTCAAAACTACGAATACGAAATATGAAAAACTGGCAACTTGAAACTCACTTAAAAGAAGCCAACGGGCACGTGCTGAACAGTTTTTCTGTTTTAACAAGTAGAGAGAAATTACTGTCTGAGTTAGTCAGTTATATGCTGCAGCTCCATCTGTCACTGAAGTAAATGACAGGCCAAATAAAAGATTCCTATACATCTGATCTGAAGGAAGCAGGTAGATACTCTATCTAATCTATCCATTAATAGTTGTGGCTACTTTCGACTAATTTTGAATTTTGTTACAAAAATACTGATCTCCTCTACTACACAGTCTCAGACTTGAGGTGGTGGCACACAAATGAAATGTATGTCTGCAATAATAATCAACATCATCATCGAGATGGACGGACACTGACCCGCACGCAGCTATCAGCACTCTGCGGCTTGTCCCTCAGTGAAAACCTCTCCAGCAGTCTGAGCAGCGTTCGGACCAGAGCCACCACGTCCTCCCTCATTCTCAGCAGATCCTGAGCTGAGAAATACACCTCCTCCTCCTCATCTTCCTCTTCATCCTCATCAATCTCCATCTGGAGGGGAAATAATGCATAATTACTGTCACTGCCAGCAGCCACGATCATCAAGAGGTTGTCTCACAACTAGGGGTACATAATCAGCTGATGTGCTAAATGGGAAAAATGAACTATAAAACTAACGGTTATCAGTATCAGTACTGATACCAATCTGTATACAGAAGAGGACAGTCATATACCTCTTCCGAAGCCTTCTTCTGAGATTTGGATCGTTTTCCACTCTTGGGGTCGCCCTGAGAGCTCTTCAGAGAATCCTTCTTACGCTTCTTCCCAGAGCTCTGGGGCCAGCATTTCAGTATGATGTCCAGGCATGTATCAAAGAGAATCTGATGGAACACTTTGTTGGCGACACTGCCTGAAAAATAGACATTAAATAAAAATGAAAGCATCTGACCACAGAGACAAATATTACATACAGATTTTTCCCATTTTCCCTAATGGCATCAATCAGCCAAGGCATGTTTGGTGTCTCATTACAAAATAAATTACATACCTAACGTTATGTAAAGTACATACTGACATTATACAGAGCGTTCAGTCTGACTGAGTTTTGACTGCACTCTGATTGGGCAGACAATCAGAAGACCTCATTTATATATACAGAAGACTTGAAGACACAGTAACAAAAACTGCCTGTTTACTTCTGAGGGAAAAAGAGGGGCTGGAAAATGTCTAAGTACAAATTAATTATGATTGTTTTAGGTACATAAAACCACACATAACGGCGTTCTTGAAGACTCCACAAGTATTTATCCTTATATAGCTTAGTATTTATATTTATAGTATATAAGTTCAAAATCACTTGTCTAGTTAAGTGACCAGATGGGGAAGCCTGCTTCTTAACTTTATATAAAATTAATGTTAGTCCAGAAACAAACAAACAAACAAACAATATATAAATAAAATAAATAATAATAAAAAGACATTACTATAATGTGTGAGCAAGCTGTGTGGTTTAATGGTTACTTTGTCAGGTAGCATAGCCTCTTAATTCACAGCCAAGTTAAGGTGGCACGCCAGGCAACATCCTGTTCTTTATCGCAGCTCACTAAGTCTAATTCATCCTCTGAGTGGGAAAAACCTTTTTGTATGTGTTAGCATTAGCTGTCAGATTGACTCATTTTGGAGTTGTAAAGATTGTGGAGGTTTCAAAAACATTCTAACTGATCAGCTCAGCTGTAGCTACTGAAGTGAAGCCCTCAGTTTGAGAAAAATATAAACATTTAAGCTATACGCACATTTAAGATATATGCTGAAATAACCATTCTAATAGTTATTATTAACTTGCATTAACATGACACCATAAAAAAAAATCTGTTTTATACTGTGAAAATCCTTGGAAATTTTAGCAGCATAAACTAAGGTAAGTTGCTGTCAGATACTGAAGTGACTGACCTGGGATTTTAAGAAGCAGCAGGTAAAGGGAGGCTGCCTGCAGACTGTAGCATCTCTGCTCAACACTGGGAGATTTGGCTTTTGCGCCAAGGACGAAGCAGGCCAGTACAGCCACCAGCGACTTCACAGACACTTCATTCTCTCCCAGCACTGTCCAGATACTCTATAAAACCAAACAACAGAAAATTGCACAGCAGTCAGCAAGAACAGACAACAAATATTCAGCAGATGTCTACAAACATCTGGACATATAGTTAACATTTGGAAAAATATGCTTAAAATGCCAAGTGAGGCACTTTGTAACCACCCGACCTGTGTGCTGTCATCGTCAGTGGAGAAGGGCAGTAACTGCTTGTACACTTTCTTAAAAACCTCGGGGTCTTCTTTTATCTCCTCTTCGATGGCAGAGTCGAGGGGCTCTATATCAGTGAACTCACAATCCCAGACTGTGTCCACCCAAGCTGAAAAGAGGACACATAACAAACAGAAGACTTTGGCTTTAGCTATGCAACTAAGGTACGTAGTAAGCCAGCTAAACAAGTCATAAAATACAGTGTCAGATAAATCATATCATCATATCTAATAAATCTGTATCTACATGGGCCGAGTTATGAGTAACCAAGTGCGCCCAAGTGAACTAACCCACTATGTGTGTACTGTAACTGTAATTTTCCAAAAAACAACTTTCAGTGTTTTAATGAACTGGTCACCCCAGTAAGCTTGTTTGAGTTCATATTTTTGGTAGTGATGTTAACCTAAGTATTACTGAATGTTAACTTTCCTTTGGTCCTTATATTGTCTGAGCTTGCTTGAGCACAAACCTGAAAACATTTTTTAAAACCGAGCAAACCATGTGGCTCAAAGCTGACGTTTTAAACAGTATAGGCTACTTTTTCAAACCCAGATCTCAACCAAGACTAAGTGAGATTTCTAATTATTAAACACCACTGACAGTGCAGTTTAATTCAAGACTAGGCTTAATCCATATCTAGAAAACTGACCCCAAATGTACTACATTAAATTAAATTAGACCACACTGAAAAATCTTTTGGTCAGATATTTCTGAACAAAACAACAGAAAATCTAGATTTGATTGTGAACACAGGTATGAAAATTAAATCTAAACAAAATGTCATCACTCAGAAAAACGTCTGTGGATTTTTTTGAATCTTAAATTTAGTTGTTGAACATGAACAGGTTCAGTTAAACAGCTAACCTGCTGTTACCAACAACACTACAAATACTAATGTAGTCTATGTGTACGATTCTCCAAGGTGTTGGCCTTGTTTTTGTAATTGTGTTGCTAGATCAGCTTACAGTGAATAACTAAACTCGTTACTGTCTGTCTGTGATGGGACAAAAAGGTTGTAAAGGAAGAATCACAGAAAACCCTGGAAACGTTTAATGGTAGGAATGTAGGTTAAGTTAAAGTATAACAACAACACACAACCACAAACTCATAGCTGCTGATCGGTCACTGAGCTGAACTGAGATTAACCTAATGTTGTGGGTAACGATGTTAGCTTAGCATCACAGACAGCCTGATTTCCGAACAAACCTCTTGCTAAACTACAAGCTATTTTCCGTTCCTGTTCGGAGCAGGTGATACTAAATATCCTAAAACATCAGCGTTGGCGTTTTCTCTTTATCGAAGTGTAAACGCACCTGTAGAAACAGCGTTTAGTTTCAGCCGCTGAACTGCGTTCATGAACTCCATCTTTCCTTTGAAACAACGCGCCAACGGCAGAGCACGGCCGCGCTCCAATCTGTTTACTAGGGCACTTATCTAGGGCAAACCCGCTTTTTAACCGAAGCGCCAAACTAGTGAGGAAATCTATAAGAACAATTAAATGACGACTAATCTTCTTACTAGAACTAGTCAGCGCTGATAACACTGTTTTAGCTGCACGGAGTGCCGGCAGACTTGCAGGTTTACGCTAGATAGTGTATACAGAGCTCCTGTCCGCAAATCGGAACACAGCCAAAACTCCCGTCCAGCTGACTTTTTCCCGGCATGCACTGCAGCCCGCGAAGATCAAAACAAAGTGGCGTTTGACAGTTTCAGAAAAACGGAAAGTCTCCGTCGCTGGGAAAATGTCTTCATAGCGTTTAAAACGACTGACAAGCAGATGTGACAAACTGCGAAGGTCGGTGCGAGGAAAGGGGAAGTAGACAACGTGGTTTTATCTTCTCTCGGTAGAGTTGTTTATTGACATGTAGGTCGCTTGGTTTAGCTAACGCTAACGCTAGCAGACAAGCTGTCATATGAACACGAAGCTGATGTCAACTTCGCCAGCTTCTCGTTCGAATTTTCCCGTTCCACCTTAAATGGTGCAGCAGTTATGTTCAGAATTTTCCCGTTCCACCTTAAATGGTGCAGCAGTTATATTCAGAATTTTCCCGTTCCACCTTAAATGGTGCGGCAGTTATATTCAGAATTTTCCCTTTCCACCTTAAATGGTGAGGCAGTTACATTCAGAATTTTCTCGTTCCACCTTAAATGGTGCGGCAGTTACATGTAGAATTTTCTCGTTCCACCTTAAATGGTGCAGCAATTACATTCGGAATTTTCCTGTTCCACCTTAAATAGTGCGGCAGTTACAGTCAGAATTTTCTCGTTCCACTTTAAATGGTGCGGCAGTTACATTCAGAATTTTCCCGTTCCACCTTAAATGGTGCGGCAGTTACATTCAGAATTTTCTCGTTCCACCTTAAATGGTGCAGCAATTACATTCGGAATTTAACTGCTGGCTGCATCATTTAAGGTGGAACAGGAAAATTCGAGCAATAAGCAGGTTAATAAGAAGACACCTTCAGCCTTGTCATATAAACTCAGCTCAAGAAGACGCAGAAGTAGCTACAAAACCTCCTCCAGCTGTTGAGAACTGCAGTGGAAATCACATCCAGCATCTGTCAACAGAGGAACTACAGCAGGACGATTTGGGGAAAATATCTACCTGCAGTTTAAATTGCAATTATTTTCCACAAAGGTCCAGGCCTGTTACTTTGTCCAAGAAGAATATACATTTTTTTCTAGCTTAAGGCTTGAAAGCAGAAGGTAGCACACCAGACTGCGATCTAGTTTATCACGATAATGATAAAATATCATCATATTGTTCACCTCTACGTAGGTCTTTGGTTGCTTTTTATGGCTTAGCTCATTTACAGGCAGATCAAAAGCTCTATGTTTCCAAAGCTTAAGGCAACAGTGTTAATAATAGAGGCTGTAATTAAAATTGCAGCGCTTGTGATTTGAAAAGTGCACCCTTTCAAACTGTGATTTTGATATAAAAATGATTGATCTTTTAGCCCTAATGGGAACTTAAGTTTATTAGAGTATATTCTTCTCTTTTTTGAATACGTTTCTTGTAAAAAAAAATGATGGAGAGCTGTGAGCACCAGCAAAACCGGACTAACAGAGCTGGACTAACAATTAAATTAAATCCTAAAAGGAATTAGCAAGTAAAAGTGAAGCACTAAAATGAAACTGAGAAAAAAGTAGATTTATTCATTAATATTAGGCATGTACTGATATGGGAATTGTGGTTTGATGATAGCCAATATTTTTCATGTACATATCTGCCGATGCAGAAACATAAACATTTATAAAATATAGAAATTTGAACTAGAGCCACTGTTATTAGCATTAAAGAGAAACGTAACACTTATACAGCGTTAAAATTGCAGTAAAGTGAATAAAATGCATCACATAAACATTCCGTATTTGTGGTGTGCAACAAATATTACATCAAATTTCAGTTTAAAATATTAGTGAATTCTAAACATCTGTCCAATGTCTGTTTTCTTTTTAAAGCAGATGTCTGATGGTAGCAGTATTGTCCGATATCATTGTGCATCCCTATCATATATACTTGGATAGAAGTAAGTATTATTTTAAAGTACTCTCAGAAATACAAATCCATAAAAATAGTCCTTAAGCACAGCTGAGTAAATAGAATTAGTTGCTACCCATTTCTAATGTAGACTCTTAGTCAAATGAATGATAAAGATGCATTACAAGTCACCTAAATAAGCCTGTGCTATGCAACTACCTAGCTGGATTTGTATAACCAAGTTACAACATTTGTGCTGGACATGGCACTGATTAGATACCCAGTATCGTTATTGGGCCGATACCAGTAGGAAATTCTGTAATGCAACCAATTCTGTAACAAATCTAGCCTGAAATATCACAGAACTGTGCAATATAATATAAAGCAAAGTAGACTGTTTGATAACTGTAGCTGTTTGTAGCCTAACGGTAAAATATGAACCAGTAACTAGCAAAGTATCAACAACAATACAATAACAATACATTTATTTTATTTCTTGTGCTATCCCTCCTTTGTGCTTTGCCATTATGAATGACAGCTATAAATGTTGGACAAAAACAAATATGTGTTTTTTTTTCTTTGTGTTTTGACAGGTGACTCTACTTGGACTCCAAACAGTGCAGTGAGAATGATGAGGAGAAAATGGCAGGACAGACTGAAGTCGTTGGAGCACAGGGCACAGTCCTTTCAAGCTGCTCCCATTTGCTGCCCATATAAACCACGTCTGTCCCGTCCGTGGCAGCCCTCTTCCGTCTGGAGGCTTTTTCCACGCCAAAGTGCGGCCATTGCTTTTAGCCAAACCTGCAAAGAGGTGGAAAAAAAGACCTCCTACTTTCAGTTATTGAATCACCTGAATCAAGATTAGGATTAGGACATGCTAATGCTTTAAAGCATGGATGTAAGGTTAGATAAAGTATGTGCTAATATAAGCAAGTTAAATGTCATTGTCTGTTTCAGGATGTGCATGTATTTGCTCTGGAGAAAGAGAGCACAGATGCAGGACAGAGGATTTACTTAGTGACCAGTTACAGTGAACTCTGGCATTACTACAGGTATCTGTGTGCATGCAATACAGATTGTCCAGAGGATGACTTACCAATTATCACTTCTTGGTTAAGTTACAGAAATAGTAACTATGTAGCAGTAGTCATTTGAGGCACTCAAATGCATAAGTCATACAGAAGGGTGTGTAAGGCAGAGAGGGCTGAAGTGGAAAAGGGCTTTAAAAAATATTCTCTATAATTTCTCTATTTGCTGCATCTGTAGCGGATAGTAAAATACACCTTTCAGCAGCTGCTCATAGGCACTGATTATATGTCAAATATATGTCAACAAGTACAAGGAAAAGCATTGAAATTATAGTCCATGGTCATCAACCATAAGCTACAGATGTGACAAATAGAGAAAAGCTTAGAAACCTGAGTATTATTCAAGCAAAGGCAGTGATATGCATTGTTCTGTGTGTAGGGGGCACCACTTGAACACATAATCCAAAGCAGGAGTTCACATAACAAGTGCATCTGAAGACTGTTGATCAAAGCCACATTTTTGTTGTGTCCCTCTAGTTCTCATAGACAGTCCCTGATGCACTGCTATGAGGTGATCCCAGAGGGCGCTGTCTGCAAACCGTACTTTGACCTGGAATTTCACATTCCCTCTAATGCACACCTGGATGGCAAAAAGATGGTGCGAGACCTGATTCAGGTGAAAACAAAGATAAATACCCACAAACACCATTTAAGCTAATTCACATTGCCAGTATTAAAGGTCTGCTAGCTGAGAAGTTCATTAACAGTATCTGCCATGGTCATATTTGCTTCCTTTTAAAAGCAGCATCAGGTAGGAGAGGTGTTATAAACCTGAAATTGTTTTTCAGGAAACAGCCTTTTATTAGCAGCGCTGTGTTTGATTTAAGCCAAAGTTTCTGTTGGATTGAAATTGTTAAACAATTCTAAGTCAACATAAATGTAGACTATAGAAGAAGGACCATTTCATTTACCATGATTGCTAGCATAATTATTAGTTGTTGCTTATATTTTCACTCACCAGAAAAATAGTAGTATATAACTTCAGTACAACAATTGTTAGCTATTTAGTAAAAATACCTAAGAAACAAGATAGATTATCAGCCAGTTTGGCCACTTTATACCAGTACTTTAATAATTACATATAATGATCAAGAAGAGACAATTAAATAGTTAATCACAATTATTTATATGCCAATTATTCATCAGATAAAATGTTATGAACATGGCAGGTCTAAGAATGCATTCAAACTTTAAAGCATTTATGAATTGTGAGGCATTCCTCTGCATTAATTCAGATCAAGAGTTTTGATCTAAAATAATGTAGATGAATGCCTCACAATTCAATTATGAAGAATCATAATTGTATCAAATTAACGTCTGTTTTTCACATGTCCCGTATTTATCAAATTTCGTAGTGTGATAATACTGATCTAGCATTATCGTAGGCATTTTATATGACACTGAATAAAATTCCGTTACCTGATGAGAGCTGGTCATAGATCAGTGCTCTTTCTCTGAGATGCTTAATAAATGTGGGCTAATGTTATTTCTTTGACTTTCATTCTGTGTCTGACACCCATTTGTTCCTCTGTTTAATCCTCTTTAAAACCAGTATGTGTGTGAGAAGCTGAAAGAGGTGTATGATCTGCAGTGCTCCTCAAAAGATGTGCTGAATCTGGACTCCAGCACTGCTGAGAAATTCAGCCGCCATCTTATCTTTCTGCTCCCTAATTCAGCGTTCAAGGACAACAGCCACGTTGGTGAGTCTAAGTTTCATTTAGGAGGACACAGCATCTACAAACATTGTTTTCAGTTTGTTATTACTGAGTTTAGTGCCTCACTTAATTAGAGACTTGTAGCCCTCAAGCTGAAGATCAGTGGTCTAAGCCGTAAGCGGCAGACAAAGATTCAGGCTAGCAGTGCCAATGAACAATCTCCATTGCAAGTGCCTTTTAGTCCAGGCTTAGGCTTACTTAACTAGAAACTAATTTTAAGTATAATAATGTTATAATATAGTAATAATAAGTATAATAATGTAAAGACCTGATGGTTGTTTTTTAAAGTCTCATTATATTTTCATCTTAACTGTCTAAATGTCTAACTGTCTTAAATGTCTATTAGTATGTTGGCTTGACAAAGTCAACTTACTTTGTTTATTTTTTTTTGTCTGTGGTCAAAAACTACTCATCCTACAGCATTCGAGCTAGAACCACCAAAATGTATAGGACTGTAGCGTCTATACCCAAATAATATGCTTGTAATTTTTTAACTGCTTGGAGTTTTTTAAGAATGTTCTTTCAAATATATATTTTTGCCATTGGAAATGAATGACAGAAATCTAACTGCTAAAAATTCCATTCTGTTGGCCGTAGACAGCTGACTGCATATTCCATAGTTTTCAATGGAACCATGACAGAAAATTCTGCCACCGCTAATGGCGCCCGCTATGGATACCAGAACCATGTCCTAGCAACGTCTTGGGATAACATAGCAACAACATAGCAGCACCCTAGCAACCACATGGGATAGCATAGCAATGGCATGGCAACACTTTAGCAATGACCTGGTATACAATAGCAACAACTTAGCAGCCACACACTGCCAGTCATGTTAAACATAGTAGCAACTAACTAGTAACAATCAAAGCAATCATTTAGGATACCTTAGCAGCCACTTAGTAACACCCTAACAACTACCCAGAATACCATAGTAACCACCTAGCAATGTCATAGCATTTATAGCATTTTCAATGTTTAAATAACCAAGCAATGAACCTTTTTAACTTTAGATAACTCAAAAACTAAAAAAACATTTAAGCTTCTCAGAGGGTAAACAACCCACCACCTTCAAGCAATAATTACTGTATAAACTTAATAAAGTCATCAAAACCAATCAACATTTGCAACTTTAAAAATATTCTTAGCTGGCTTTGTTAAGCCAATTTCAAGTTCATTCATGACCTTCCTACTTCATATTTGTAATCATTTGCGTTTTCTCTGTAATGCTATTTTTTTTAAATATTAGTGAATTAACATGTGAATTATTGAAGTCATATTGTGACACTGATTGTATTTGGTGTATTTCCATAATAGGTCGGTTTATCCATGACATACTTAAACCTGCCATGAAAAGCATTCAAAAAGGGTAAGACAAGCTTTAGTTTGCACTGATTATAAATACATGCTTTTTTGTTGCTTACGGTCTTATTTTGTTTATTTTTTTCTTCTATATCTTAGTGCATGTTTGTCAAACTTTGTTCAGTAAGACAGAATTTGTTAAAGTTTGTAAAAGTATGATCGTATTGTTATTTGTGTGCACAGAAATGTTTTTTAATGCAGTCTCAATGTTTGTTTGGGCTATACTTGAATAAAAAAAAATAATTAATGAGTACTATTAACACAGTTTACTTTATTGTGTATTCACTTTCCATAGACATTTCATTTTTGTGTTGGTCTAATTTTGTTCTTTTTTTTTTAAACACAGCTCAGAAACACTCACTTCAGAAGTTGATGGCGATCTCAGTGAGGAGCCTCAGTCAAAGAAAAGAAAGCATGAAGCGAAAGAAGAGAAGGACTTGAGCTTTCTAATAGTGAAGTCCAGAGATGGCCAAAAGCAGCTCTTCGTGGATCTAGGTAAGTTTACTTCCTGGGGTAGCTGGTTTTGTCTGACGTAGGTTAGCTTTGTCTTTAGTTTTAGACCAGCAGTAATTTTACATTGAAAATTCTGTTTAAAGAAAAGTTTAAAGACATACTATTCACCCCCCCCTCCCCCCCGAGTCCATATATGGAAGCAATTAGTTTTGAATTCACTGTTGTGAAATCAAACACATTATGTATTTAAATATATCCATCCATTCAGCCTACAGCAGTTTAGCCCTGCCCACTCACACTAAAGTTGTAACAAGTGTTTTAGCCCAGCCAGCTTTTTGAATGAGGCTTAATACAGTACTCAGCTAAAACAGAGGTTGTCTACACATATCAGTCTTAATTTGGGGAAATATAATCACATTTAAATTGCAATTGCAATATTGGTCAGAAAAATTACAATAAATATTTTCCCCAAATCGTTCAATCTAACGGCAGCATAGTGGAAATCACTCACTAAAATGCTTATTGTTAAGGAATTCATTGAGCATAATAGTTTTCAGTCTTATGAATAACAGTATTTGTTGCCGTCAACCAAAGGTGTCTACACCAAAAACCGAAATTTCCGTCTCTACAAGTCCTCCAAACTGGGAAAGAACGCTGCCTTCACAGTGGCTGAAGATAACATGTATGTTCCGAAGTCTGACAAGCAGAGCACAGAAGAGGAGCGCATATTCCTGGCTTCCCTAGTTACTAATGTCAGGTGATCATCGCAAAGTATAGCAGTGGTATTTAAAGCATCTAAAGCAGTTCTGGGCTCTTATTGTATGTGTGCATAATATATGTTTATAGTAATAATAAAATCTACAATAGTACCATGTTCACAATAATTAAAATCATGTAGAGATGTGAAAAAGTCACTCAGAGTGGTTTGAAAGAAATGCTTTGTAGAGAAACGTAACTGATTCAGGTTTCTTTACAGTGGTGGTGATAGGAACCAGGGGTCACACTGTGAGTCCAGTATAGCCATTTAATTTACAATCCAAAATGATCAGTGCATCTACATGTCTCTTGAGTTTTTATATGAAACATTGCTATTGGTTGAATAGTGGGAAATCAGAGAAATATGTTTTTTGGGGGCTATTTTGCCTTACAGTGCCCTGGCCAGCAGTATAGTCCCCTGTGAAGTTAAGTCAAGTCGTGCATGACAGCTAGCCAATCCTAGTTTTGCTTGTAGCTCTCCACCATGAATAGATCAATAGATGTTTTGTGTCACATTCTTCTCAAAACTATTGTAAAACAATGTGTCAGGCAATATTTTTGCACTTTACATAATAACTTTTGGCGAGGTTGCTTTTAGAGGCATTAAACTCTTCAGATGTCTGGTTCCTGTCACCACCACTGTGAACAATTCTGACTCAGTAAGTTTCTCTAGAATGTAACATCAAACGATTCTGAATGACTTTGCTCACATCTTATAAATCTAATTATGCGAAACTTGTGGAAAGTTGCCCTGTTGTGACCCAGTTATACTCGAAAGTCACATGTGTAGGTAAGAAATAGCTAATTTCTTTACTCTGTTGACATGTACCACAGTTTATTTTATTAGAAAAGATATTTTTATGTGCACTTGCAGTGTATTGTTACATTGTTATAGGACAAATGTAAACACTGGTATGTTAAGGCATTAGTAAGCATTCTATTATATGCATGCTCAGACAGTGGTATTTTCTCTCTAGTTTCACTGGTCAGAGGATTCTGACGTGTGATGTTCCAGAAAGGAATCCAGCAGTATCTCACTGTTCACCTCAAGACAAAGGCCCTCAAAGCACAGGTACTCACATCTCTGACCAAAGCCTTTGTATTAGTATATAATAATAACTAATATTCAAAATGGGCAAGAGTATGTGATGGTATCTGTCCAAAACTATACAGTCATAGCCATAATCATCACTGCACGTCAGTTTCATTACTCCTATGAGTATTTAACCAAAAGGGAAGAGTTTCAGTAAAAGTGGCCAGCAGTACAATCCCCTCTGAAGTTAAGTCAAATTGTACGTGACTACTAGCCAATCTTAGTTTTACTGGACTGCAATCAGTTGCAAGTGTCTATAATACAAGATTTTACTGTTACCACTTTTTAAAGTTACGTGCCAGTGTAATGTTAGCTAGCTTGACTCCAGCATATCACTTTATATAATAATAGTAATAATAATAATAATAATAATAATAGCAATAATAATAAAGTACAAAACCTTTAGTAAATGTTTAAGTAAATCAAGTTACCTCATTTCATTCTAACTATTCTAAGTTGGAGTAAATGTAAGGTTTACCCAACTTAAGGGTTTAAATCTGCAAAATCTAAATATCAGAGGTTAAAATCATGCCCGTGATAAATCGTTTAACATTGTTGAGCTATGAAATGTATAGACTTTAGTGTCTCAGTTGGATGTTTTAATGCAGAGCGAATCAGGTTGTGTGCTGTATGACTGGAATGTATAAATGTAAACCCTTCCACACCCAAAGGAATCGATGAAGAATCCATGCTACTAGAGGTTTTATGAAACATTTCTCTCTTAACAGTAGATAACTTATTACATACTTTTTTTATTCTTGCTTTTTAAAGAATTTGCAGGTGAACAGCAGCTTTCCCCATACAAGGAAGTAGATGAATTTGTGCAGAGGCTGGTGTACAAGGACAACATTCAAGGAAGTAAGGACATAATTAAAAGACCCCACATGTTAAAGTTTCCACTTTAGTGGTATAACTTCAGTTGAGCTATATTTCATATTTATCATGTAAGAAGTATACAAAGTTTATATATACTTACGTATATATGTGTGTGTTTATATATCTGTTGGAACAAAACCATGTCTCCAAAATGGTAACTTTGCAGGAGAAGGAAAAACATCCTTAACTTCTAATGGAAGTTTGTGTATCAACACTTCTGCAAGTTATTTTGGACAATCATAAAATTTTAACAGTGTGCAAAGGGTAACTGGAGTTATTGTATTATCCCGGAGATTATGTACATTAAAACCTTAATAAGATAGTACCCAAAGAGAAGATTTTAGATTTATTTTTCCCTTATAACCATTACATACAGAAATACAGAAAACACATGTAGGTCAGTGCAAATTTTTAGATTCTAAATAAAATGGCTATTTGTGTGTTGACATTGTGACCCCGGTCCTATTGCCACCACTGTAAAGAAATCTGTATTGGCAACTTTCTCTACCATGCACCATTTCACATCACACTACTCAGGAATGACTTTGTTTACATCTCAACAGCTGAATTATTGAGAAATTCTGTGGAATTTTTCTTTAAATAACAGGCATTAGACGCTGGACCTACTTTGTATCTGAGCAGCTGCTGGTGTATGACATTGCCAAGTACCGCTGGTGTTATAATGTGGGTCGCTTCCACAAGAGCAACAACATCATGTGAGTCTTCTTATTTAATCTTATTATGCTTAATTAACCGTACTTAATCCTGTTATGCTATATAATACTCCTCTGTTCAAGTTATGACACTGATGATGCAAATACAGACTACTCAGTATCAGGAGGTGTGTTTGTCTTTAAACTGTCTTTAAACTATTTCTAACTGTCTTTTTCAGAATTGTAGTGGATCTAAAAGATGAGGTGTGGTATCAGAGGTGTCATGACCCTGAGTGCAGGAGTCAGAATTACAGATCCTCTAGTGAGTCCACCAGTTATTTAACATTGTTATTGGACTTTACACCAATCACATCAAACTCCCTTTTTGCATCACACAAAAATGACCAAAAATACCTTTCTACTTTAATTTTCTGCAGGTTTCCCACTACCACAAGAGGTCTGCATGAGCTACATGCTGAAGGAGGTCAGTCAGTCTATATATATATATATATATATATATATATATATAGTAGAAAATAAACTTGTATTTCCAAAATGGTAACTTTACAGGAGAAGGAAAAAAACATAATTTATCTTTAAGGTAGGTGACTGGAATCAGACTTTTTTCCAAGTAATTTTGGGCCAATCATCATGAAATTTACACAAGACGTAAAGGGCAACAGACATTTTCAAATTATGTCAAAAAATGTCTCATGATCTAGACCACTGGTCTACAACCATGGTTCTGGATAGCTACTTTCTTCAGAGTGTAGTTCCAACCTGCATTTAACATGCTGTCCCTCCCCTTAGCTAGCACTAATGCATTTGATCCAACCAATCAGGAACGTCTGAGGGAAGTCAATTAGATGGAGCAGGTGTGGCAGATTGTGGCTGAAACTAGACATTGCAGGAAGGCAGCTTTCCAAGACCAGGTTTTGAGACCACTGATATAGACCACTGGTATAGACCACTGGTTCCCACCTGCGGTCATTGAGGTCCCCCTGCCCTGCACATTTTAGTGTGTGCCCTGTTCCCAACACACCTTCTCCAACTAGTCCAGTGATTAACAAGTCCTCCCTGAGTTGAGATTGTTTTGGCAGGAAAACACAAAAATGTGCAGGGCTGGAGGTCCTCCAGGACTAGGGGTGGGAACCAGCGATCTAGACTACTGGCATAGCATGTATGGCAAGCAATTTTATAACTGCGCATAAGAATTAGTTATGCCTCTTCCTTTGCTTGCAATATCATTATTTATTGCATGGGGCGCAGCACAGTGGCACAGTGGGTAGGGCTGTGCCTCACATCCAGAAGGGCCCAGCAATCACAAAGGGTCCTTTCTGTATGGAGTTTACATGTTCTTCCCCTATCTGGGTGGGTTCCCGTTCCCTCCCATACTTCTCAGACATGCAGTCAGGCCAATTGGAGAAGCTAAATTGCCTATAGGTGTGAGTGTGTGAATGTGTTTGTCTGTGTGTCTGCTGTGTGATGGACTGGTGGCCTGTCCAGAGTGTTTCCTGCCTTCTCCATTGAATGCTGGGATAGGCTACAGCACCACCCCATCACCCCCACGACCCAGGAGGATAAAAGGCCTAGATAATCTGTGTTTAATGCATGGGATCATGGGTCCCATCGTCAACAGCACAGTTAAATTAAAATATGTCAATACTTTGGGGGGAAAAAAAAAGGTTTTGTGCCACAAAAGCAAACATCTGCGTATAGTGGGAGTGAGATACATATATAAATCAAATAAATGTATTTAATTATTTTATTTACATTATTTATGCTTTTTTTCCTATTAGTTTCTCAGATGACACTTGACAGGGAATCTTTTTGGCTCTTCATGCCACAAAAGGCTGACAGTGCCAACTACCGACTATGTAAATGCTTATGTCCAGTTTTTCCGAGACAAGACCTTAAGCGGCTCACGTAGCTTCATCATATATCGGTTTAAATGTTGTATTAAATAGTATTATGGTTTAAGTGCCCTGACTGCAGCCCGCGCGCTCTCATTCAAAATTCAAACTCCAACGGAAACCTTGCAGACCAACGGTTTCTCAAACCGGCTCTGAGGAAAGCTCAGTCCAGCGATATGTTAACAGACTTTTATTAAAGCACTTTCTGTATTTTAAAATGAGCTGAGAATTACATAAACTAAATTTATAAGCGATTTATAGCGACATTGGTACATATACGTGACGTACTTGCTTGTAAATTTAGCCAGCCAGGCTAACGACGGTGGTAAGTTGTTCTTTTGTTTGAGTGTTTTGAAGCGGGGATATAATATCAGTCAAGTCTCCGATAATTAGAGTGATAAGTTGGCTAGCTGGTAATTTATCTTTGCCCAGTAAGAGCTAACCTAGCTAGCTAAGCGGAGTTAGCATGGTAGCGTTAGCTTGTGTCAGGTACAGTTATGGTGAGTAAAACCGCTGGTTCAGTCCTGAATCTCCAGCTCAGAGCGATCTGCAGATTATACCGCTGCCCCTCTAACTGAGCCTGACAGACCCTGGTAGCTGGACTGTGTAGTGGACAGCTGTCCTTCAAGCAAGCTGTAGATATGGCCAGATATGTGGTGAGTTTTCTCTTTCTGATACGGGTCAAATCAGCCTCTAGATAGGAAACCAGTAAAAGTGACAACTAACGAGTACGACTTTCTAATGAGCAAAAATACAGTTCGCACCATAGCGTGACGGAAAGCTCCTGTATCTGATTGAGAGGTAACAAAGCTTGTGGGTTTTGTACCATAGAAACGCAAGAACCTGTCAGAAAAAAACACTTTTTCAGTAACATGGAGTTTCAAACAACTATACTCAAGCCTACTGGTTCTCACCTTATGGTGGCTTGTGAGTCAGGTTAACCCACTCATAACCCAACAGCTAAACTTTGTTTTTGACGAAAAAAAGCAACAGAATTTATTCTGATTTGTCTAAAGAAATATTTTATAATCATACCTTGGATAAACATGTAACAGTGGTCATTTAAATTTTTTGATTGGAAGAAATTTTATACATTTATTGACAATGAAATTTTGATTTTCTGTTGTTTTGTTAAAAAGTAATAATTTAATGTGGCTAAAAGACTCAATTATAATATATTAAATCATAAAAACTTACTTATTAGCCAGTATGGTTTGATCCAGTTAAAAGTTCGGATTTGTGCTAGGGCAAGCTCAGAGAACATATGGACATTTCCAGCTTGCGAGTCAGTGATATTAGATGCTTTTTTAACAAAGTTTTTATTTATTTATTTATTTTTTGAGTAAATTACTAAATATGTCATATCACGTCATATATCATCAGTTATTCTACAACTAATTTCACAAGTGACAAAAAAGACTTGTTCTGACATGCTTTTAAGAAAGAGTGGGCAGGGTGTTGCCAGAGAATGTGTAGTGAGGAGAACTGCCACTCAGTAGTGTCTTCTGGACTTGTCAGATGGGAACTTCTGAGCAAGTCCAAAATGCATGGGGTCCTATGGAGCGTTTGTGGAAAATGTTAGTTTGCAAATGCTTAATCATTTTTATGTAGTCAGCACTTACCTGTTGTTGGACAAAGGACAAAGACTAGTCTATAGACACATTTTCAGTAGTCATAAAAAAACTTTTGAAGTATAGTATTTTTAATTAAACAAATATCAGCAAATTGCACATGCATAAATGCACATTGTAGTGTTTTTAATATTTTTTAAGTTTAAATTTTCTAAAATTTATGTTTTGCAATTCCTTTATCATTAATCTACATACAAGCATCACATTTTAAAATTATGATTGTGCTGTATGATGTTATCATATTGCATAGGTATGGCTCACTACTGGGATATAAAGCCTATAACATAGGGCTGTGACTGTGGATGTTTTCTTACCGTGGTGAAAAAACAATGTAACTCCATTTAGCGATTCAGTCCCAAGTCCCAAAACCACCCCCCTAACCCACCCCTTTAAAAAAATGTCAAACCATCTATCTAATAATTGATAAATACAATACAGTGATGCACAATAGGAGAGTGGCGCTGGTTAGCATTAGCTGTTAGCATAGCTAGCATGATAACAGCTCTGCCCACCACAGAACACGTTCAATTCTGGCTAACTAAAGCACCGACACAATTTTAGATGATAATGACTCAATTCTGAGGGAGTAAAGTTGCACAGCGGGTGCTGAAGGGACAGAAAGGCGAAATTAAACCTGTTTATTGGTGTTTGGATCTGCAGCTGGATCGGCTAGCTTAACGTTAGCTCAGCAAGCAGGCTGCTGAATCAAACAGTGCAGTCACCACCGTACAGGTTATTCTAAGCAATCCTCTGCTATACCAGGTTTAGATGTTAAAAACTAATTTCAGAGGGAGCAAAAGTCAAGTGAGTAGCAGAAAGCCAAAAACAAAGCTGTTGGTGTTTGGTACTGTAGCATTTAAGTTAGCAGGCCAAACATGCTATACAGCACAGGCCTGGGTTAAGCTAGTTGATGCTGAAATGGTGTCCATTTAGAGGATGTCTGAAAAAGTTGAGGGACTAAGTCAGAAATCACATGTGTTCTGTGGGCTGTAGCTGTCGCTGAAACGTCCAAACATTAAAAAACGTTGTTTTTAACGAATGTTTGTACATCAGCGCTGCCGCTATGCATCTCTGAGCATTGCTTAATTTCTCAGCGCGTCACAGATCACCATTCAGCATTTTTTTGTCACTATGTTAAATTAAAGCCACAACAAGACCACAGAAAGCCACAGTAGATAACTATAGACAGATTAAAATTTACACAGAGAAAGGCAGTCGGTATTTTAGATAAATAGATCTCTAACAGAAAACAGTTATTAAAGTTATAAACTGATGCCAAGCATGATCAGTGATGGTGAATCAACTTTCACTAGCTAAATAAATAAATAAGTAAATAGTGGTAGTGATGGTAACTCCGTGGTAGGCATCACATGACCTCAGTATTGTGGCAATACAGTTATCATCACAGCCCTCCTGTAACATTTGTGTAATTTGTGTGTCTCTGCAGGATGAGGAGGATCAGGAGTACCTGATGGATGAGCTGGGTAACATTGAGCTGAGTCAGAGTTTTGTTCCAGCAGTGGAGGGGGACGAGCAGTCGGCCTCGTTTTGTTCTCTGACAGAGCACACACAGGCTTGGGTTAACTGGCCTGATGACCACTCCTGCCTGGAGGCCCTGGATGAAGTGGAGAAGATCACTGCAGAAAAGGAGGAAATTCCAGATGAGCTTATGATTCAGGCAGTGACTGAGTGTGAGGCTACAGTAGTCTGAGAGAGAGTTTATTATAATTAATCACTGTAAAAAATGATAACCTGACAGTAAGTTAAATTATTGCTGTATGAGAAATACTGCTGCTTTCACAGCTGGTTTTGGGTATTTCTGCTTTTACAGGTGTAGTTTTACTCCAGCTTTCCATTTATTGCTTTAGAAAAAAGTTCTATAGTTCTATTTTTGAACGTGTTGAATGAAGTTGTATCTTTACCAAAGGTCAAAGCGTGAATTTCTGAATAAAACTGTGTGTTTCTGCTGTAAAAAAAAACAAACAAAAAAACAGCCAAACCATTCAGACTTCATGGCAGACTGAGTTATTCTAAATGTGTTTAGAGTTTATCTATAACTCTGGGCAAGAGTTCCATGCAATGCATGCTCATAATTTATGAGAAGTATTGTTGTTTGATGCGTGTAGTAAATTAATTAGACACAGTTTGAAGTATAAATATGCCTGTTCAGTGAGATAATTGGGTAAATTGAGTTTCTTATTATTTTACTCAGGTCATGGTTGTAGAATACATGACAAAAAAGTATGAAGTGTAATTACTAACAGAAATTGACTCAGTATCCAAAAAAACCCCCACAACAGAGCGGTCTTTTTGTCTTGCTTTGCATAAATTTACACCACACCGGTGAGGCATCAATATGTTTGTATAGTAGAGGGGACATCTGTGGACATTTTTCACTAATGCACTGTTGCAAATTCTTGTTTGGCATTAAAAAGTGTCTGTTGCAATTTTCTAAATAGGTGCAATGGCTTTTAAGTGCCCACAATAAAACTGAAAGGGCAGTTGCTGCTCTTTTAACACACTGTAAATGCATTTGTAGGAGTTTCCCTCTCAATGCATAAAATACTTGGAGGAGATTATAATAGTGAAGTACCTTCTCAGATTTACCAAGGCTGATAGTGAGTACTAGTGATGTGATACTAGTTCTCTCGGAAGGCAAGAGAAAGCGAGTGAACTTCGCGCTTTACATAGACAGACTTGCTGGAAAGGAAAACGAGTGACAGGAAACGTAGTAAAGTTTGGACACATTTTAATGTGATAGACAGTTCAAAGGCAGAGTGTAGACTGTGCAAAGTTAAAATGCAAACTCTTCATCCATCAATGCAATAAGAAGAGAAAAAGCATATACACAATCAGATTAGAACTTTTTGTCTAATTTAGATGGGTCTTTGATTTTTGTATTTTAAATTTATTTTTGTAGCACTCTGTTCCATGTTATATATATATATATATATATATATATAAAGCCATATAAATAATAAACATTTGATATAATGTTTTTACATTAGTAATTCATTTTACATATAATTTGTTAATAAATTAATTTAAGCAACAAAAAATCTGAGGAGCCACGTGGGAGGAGAAAGAGCCGGCTCTTTTTAGTGAGCCGAACCAAAAGAACCGGCTCTCTAAAAAGCCGAAATTCCCATCACTAGTGAGTACTGACTGTGCACTGTTTAAAGCTTGTAAAATAGAGAGGAAATAGAAAGTTTTTGAAATGCATTTATTGTATTTTTAATGGGGGAAACATTTGAGAAAGTTTGCTCTATCATATATAAAACTGAATAATTTCAGTGAAATGATGCTTTAAAGTGATAATATCTGAGGTTTGGACCTGGTGTAGTCTCATGCAATATTTCTCAGTAATTTTGCTTGTTTATTTTTAATAACACATTCCTCTAGATTACAGGGCAGGGGTGTGCATAGTGATCAGATGAAAAATATACTGTGCATGAAATGGTTTATTATCTTTCAGCTATGCTAGCAGACCTTCTGAAAGAGCCCACAGGAGCAGTTTCTGTCACACAAGCCTCTTCCTCATCCTGCATGAAAACCTAATACTTTAATGCCCAATAACTAAAAGATAGGGCTGCTTTAAACAAGCCAACATTCCTATTTTTGGCCTAAGGACAGGTGTGTATAGAAAAATGCACAAAGATAATTTGTATACTCGTCATACATTATGATTCTAAATGTTAAGTGCAAGTTAAAATTCCAGTTACTTGTGTGTGTGTGTGTGTGTGTGTGTGTGTGTGAGTGTGAGTGAGTGTATTCTCCACAAGCTGAGCTCCAGTTTTGTGCTGTCCATCATCAGAGAGATCTATGAGTCTGTCTCTGCTCACTGTGTGTCCAGCCTGTTGAGTTTAGCAGAGAACCTCATCAACCTGAACAGCAGAGAGCTGAGTTTTGTCCACTGTGCCGCCATTTGCTTCGTCCTTCTGCACTGCGATGGAGTCACTCTCAGCCTGCTGTGGACCTCCATCCCAGAGGGGGAGCTAGAGAGCATTGTGCCTCTACTCAAATCTCAGGTGCCTCATTACAGGATGAGTCAGTTTTGACTTTAAGAGAAACATGCCTGCTGTAAACAATGATAGTGTTTTGAACATTCATTAACCCTTTGAGGCAGATAAAAAAAATGTCTATTTCTTCTCTGATAAAAACATGATTTCTCTGTCATTACATATTTTTGATATGTAAAGATCTAGCAAAGCCAAAAATACATTGATTTTAATTAAATTTGTGTCACAGACAACCATTTTGTAAAAACAAATCATGAAATATAAGTCACACATCAGTCACGCTTTGCTTGGATTAAACCAATCAGTAATTTTAGATGCCGCAGAGTATGGCAGGCTGTTAACTGGTTGATTTTATCATGCAGTACACCTGACTGGAAGCATCTGTGTTGCTCCACTCTTTCAGTCATGTTTTTCCTTTTGTCACCCAACTCTACATACACAGTATGATAGACTCTGAAATGATATCTCTTGTTTTTCTGGACTACTTGTTTAAAGTGAACATATTAAAATGTTTGACTTTGATTAATGTTTGACTTGAAATTTGATAAAACTCTATTGACTGATTTGTTATTGTTTGCTTTAGATTATTTTAAAATCTGTAAAAATGTATATTTGGTATATACGTAGCATTATGGACTCTATGGATTTCTATTATGGATTGGCTTATCTTTATCTTTTTACACTACATATTTTAAAAATGACTGTTTTATCAAGTGTTGCAGTTGACTTATGATGCAATTACATTGATGAATGTGAGCATTTTAGATGCTGTGTTCACATTTGCAATGTGTTTAATATGGTAAACTATAAACTGATGTTTTTTGGACTAACTGGAATGCTATGAATATTTGATGTGTCAACGTTGACCTGCCAGTTTGATTGGCTAATTTCATGGCTTTGTTTGGCCTTTACGTTAAAATGCTACACAACAATCATTTCGTTTTCTTGTCTGCGTGGTGTTTTAGAACATAAAATATTTTTTTAACGTTTTCAGTGTTTTTTTTTTTTCAGTGTTTTTTCTTTTTATATTGGAGCAAAGTGCTCATGAACGCGCTGTGACTCTTTACCGCTAAGTGTGAAATTATGGCAAGCCAAGTGGGTCAGAACTCGTCAGGGTTTTGACGGCGTATAAAGCGCGCGCTATGTTTAAAAACTCCCGTCCAGAGCGGCGTTTAAAGGTTTTCTTTTCGCCGTCAGTGGACTGCAGCAGCCTCACGTGAGGAATCGAGTCAGTGGAAGCAATAAAAAATTCTCTTGGCTATCACTGAGTTTCGAACTAGGCAAACCAAACTAAAGCCAGGGCTGAACCTGTTGGGGAAGGAGGGGATCTGTAAATTCAGGTCATTTCTGCTTATGAGACGCGTGGTGGCTCTAACTAAGCGCCTGTTGCCGGGAGGTATGGCAAGCCAAGTGGGTCAGAACTCGTCAGGGTTTTGACGGCGTATAAAGCGCGCGCTATGTTTAAAAATGTCGTCCAGAGCGGCGTTTAAGGGTTTTCTTTTCGCCGTCAGGTAAACGCGAGGCGCCGCCAGGTGTTTTAGAATGTCTGCCGGCAGCAGGCGCTTAGTTAGCGCCACCACGCGTCTCATAAGCAGAAATGCCTGAATTTACAGATCCCCTCCTTCCCCAACAGGTTCGGCCCTGGCAGGGGGAGGGTTATGCGGAGAGTCGGTCTGACCAGTTCAAAACTCAGTGATAGCCAGGAGAATTTTTATTGGTTCCACTGATTGCAATGCTGGGTGTTGCGCACTCCTAATCGGTCTGCTTCCGAGGTTACATGCATGCAGCAAGCAGGCTATGTAGCCGACATGTGGGCCTGTGAACAGCTCTGCTTTAAGGTTGTTCACTTTCCTTCCCCAAGATGGACAAAAGCAGAACTTGTGAAAAGTGAATGTGTTTACTTTGCTCGGACTGTCAGCTTTAATTATCTTCTGACTGCTTATTCGTGTGAAACAATTACAGGCATAGTGGTTGCAGGTTGTACAGTGGATACGAAATCACGAGCCTCCTTAAACTAAATCCGCGCTTTTTAACTTGATGTTGTTTCTATTTTGACAGACATATCCCCTTGGTTCGTTAGTGTGGACTGCAGTAGCTCCACGTGAGGAATCGAGTCAGTGGAAGCAATAAAAATTCTCCAGGCCATCACTGAGTTTTGAACTGGGCAAACCGACTCTCCGTATAACCCTCCCCCTGAAGCCAGGGCTGAACCTGCTGCCTCGCGTTTACCTGACGGCGAAAAGAAAACCCTTAAACGCCGCTCTGGACGACATTTTTAAACATAGCGCGCGCTTTATACGCCGTCAAAACCCTGACGAGTTCTGACCCACTTGGCTTGCCATAGGGAGGCGCTCTAAGACGCCTGGCGGCGCATCTTGGTTCGCCATAGAGTTCTGTTGGAAGGCGGCTGCAGTCAGTCAGCTCAGTGTGAGTTTAAACAGGTCTAGAAGAACAGTGAGTACTGCGATTTAATCTCTCCAGCTGATTTTATCCTCTGTCTGAAGCTGTATTTGGTTAGGAATGAAAGCAGTCGGATGTCAGTCTGATGGTTTATTCCCTCTGAACATGAACATGTTGAAGACGCTGCAGTTTCCTGTTGATCTTCTTTCTGAAGCTGAGTTAAAGATCGAGTCCTACATATTATAACCGACACTGATAACAGATGAACAGCGCCTTCATTATAACCTCGAATTAGTCTTCGCTGGCTGTGTGTGGAAAAGTCAAGTCTTTTTTTAGGCACATACACCGAGCTGGTTAGTTTCACTTTCGGTTTGAGTTTCCTGGATTCTTATGAGTCGCTACAGGAAGATTTTTTTAGTGTTTAGTTCATTTCTCTTTCAGAGCTGTTTGTAAAATCTCTGTGAAATAAGGTTAACATATAAACAACGAAACAGTCAGCGAGTGACATCATAAGTGTTTTAAAGGAAAGTAATGGTTGAGTCAGAACCGGTTTATGAGGAGCCTGGCCACTTCTTATTCCCCCGTTATATCAGAAACAGGACGGCTAAACAGCAGAGGGCGCCCGCGAGTGAGTCCTCAATGAATGAGAGTGAATGAAGCGGCTAAAAACGAACAGTTAAAATAGTTTCTAATCACTCGCCCAGAACGTTTCTTTAATTTTAGAAAGTAGAAGGATGTATTTCACTAAAAAAACAGAGAAAACTCAGCTGTGTGTTTCCTTTTTTCTACAGTAAACGAATTTTGGGCAGCAGGAGGCGGGCACTACTGCTACAGCGTGATGATTGATTGGCGAGCGGAGCAGCTCATTGGCTGTTCGCGCTCACTGACGTCATGGACCTACATAAGGCGCTGTTTTAAACTCCTATAACTCGAGTTTAAAAGCTCTTAAAAACATAACAGCGGTGTTAAAATGTATTATGATATTCAGTGTTCAGGAAATGATCGAATTCTTTTACATTAAAAATGTTTCAGCATTTATAAACTATGATTTTGCTCAAATGCTCCATATCAACCCATTCATTTTGGAATCGGGAGCGCCATCTAGCGTTTGAGAAACCCTGAATACATTGCAGAGTGGGAATTCTCATTTCTACAAGTTCTCTGGTTGAGTGTCTAACGGGTGCAGTAATATCTGCTGAGACCTTTAGAGGGCAGCAGTGAATGAGTGTTTTGAGCTCAAGATTTGTTCGAGCTTTGTTCTTCAGTTAGAAGTAGAAATGGACAATACCACTGATTTATATTTTGATCTGATACCAAGGCTAATATCCCAGTTCTGATACTTTGTGATTTTTGACAAAATGGCAAATTTGATCAAAATTATAGCAGAAAGTCTAACGTTAATATTAAATATAATTTAAAAAATCAGAGTTTCCCTTTTCTTCTTTTTTAATAACATTACTTAATAACATTCAATTCAGTGTTAAGTAATGTTCAGATTGTATGTTGTATGTTCAATTAAACTAGTACTTTACATATCAACTGAAAACTCAGTAGAGGTAATTAATTAGAGGTGAAAAATTACAAGAGATAAAACTTTTTTAGTACTGTTACGTCCTGTGTCTGGTTGTTTCTTTCTCTTTCTGTGTCTGAGTGTTTTCAGGCTCCCGTTGCTGCATGACTGATGTCCCACTCTTCCCGGTATGTGATTGGCTGTTAAAGCTATAAAAGGCCTTTGGTGTTTAGCAATAAGGAGTGTTTTATTTATTTATTTTTTCGGCCTTGCACGATTCCGCTCCCCTGGCTGCCCGCCAGTCGACAGACCTTTTTTTGTTAATTGTGATGTGCTGGCGTACAGGTACAGTATCTCACAAAAGTGAGTACACCCCTCACATTTCTGCAAATATTTTATTATATCTTTTCATGGGACAACACTATAGAAATGAAACTTGGATATAACTTAAAGTAGTCAGTGTACAGCTTGTATAGCAGTATAGATTTACTGTCCTCTGAAAATAATTCAACACACAGCCATTAATGTCTAAATAGCTGGCAACACAAGTGAGTACACGTCACAGTGAACATGTCCAAATTTGCCCAATTGTGTCGTTGTCCCTCCCTGGTGTCATGTGGCTCGTTAGAGTTACAAGGTTCCAGGTGTGAATGGGGAGCAGGGCTGTTAAATTTGGTGTTTTGGGTACAATCTGCTCATACTGGCCACTGGATATTCAACATGGCACCTCATGGCAAATAACTCTCTGAGGTTGTGAGAAATAGAATTGTTGCTCTCCACAAAGATGACCTAGGCTATAAGAAGATGCTAACACCCTGAAACTGAGCTATAGTATGGTGGCCAAGGTCATACAGTGGTTTTCCAGGACAGGTTCCACTCGGAACAGGCCTTGCCAAGGTCGACCAAAGAAGTTGAGTCCATGTGTTCAGCGTCATATCCAGAGGTTGGCTTCAAAAAAATAGATGCATGAGTGCTGCCAGCATTGCTGCAGAGGTTGAAGAAGTGGGAGGTCAGCCTGTCAGTGCTTAGAATATACGCCACACAATGCATCAACTCGGTCTGCATGGCCATCGTCCCAGAAGGAAGCCTCTTCTAAAGCTGAATCACAAGAAAGCCCGCAAACAGTTTGCTGAAGACAAGCAGTCCAAGAATATGGATTACTGGAACCATGTCCTGTGATCTGATAAGACCAAGACAAACTTGTTTGGCTCAGATGGTGTCCAGCATGTGGTGCGGAGCCCTGGTGAGGAGTACCAAGACAACTGTCTCTTACCTACAGACAAGCATAGTGGTGGTAGCATCATGGTCTGGGGCTACATAAGTGCTGCCGGCACAGTTTGGACATGTTTACTGTGACGTGTACTCACTTGTGTTGCCAGCTATTTAGACATTAATGGCTGTGTGTTGAGTTATTTTCAGAGGACAGTAAATCTATACTGCTATACAAGCTGTACACTGACTAATTTAAGTTATATCCAAGTTTCACTTCTATAGTGTTGTCCCATGAAAAGATATAATAAAATATTTGCAGAAATGTGAGGGGTGTACTCACTTTTATGAGATACTGTACATGTGGGCCAGTGAAAGCACTTTGTGCAAATTTGCACTGGGGATAAGGGGGGCTGCTTTTGGAGAATTTAGTTGCAGCTGGTATATAGCCCACAGAAGATTCTAGTTCAGGGTTAAGGAGTGTAGATGCAGTTACTTCCAGTAAGAAGTCACTAGTTGGGGGTGAGGCTTCAGCTAAAGTTCCTGTTATAGGTGAGAAACCTATTTTGCATTCGTTAATTGGTCAGAGTTTGGAAACTCTTAGGTTAGCTATTCAATTAAAGGAGCTTGATCTTGAAACTAAACGTCAGGAGCTTTTGCATGCAAGACAGCATGAACTTGAATGTGGGTGTGCACGTTGTGTCGAAGCTATGCCTTCTGCACCGCAGGCTTCCACGTCTCCAGTGAATCCGGTTCCCACCACACCTATGCTTGTTCTAAATGCCCCTTCTTCGTCCCCTGCATTGCCCTCCCTTGTAAGCTTTAGTGAATTCGATTTTAGCAAGCAAATTCGTTTGGTTCCCACTTTTAGGGAGACTGAGATTGATTCGTACTTTGGCACATTTGAACATATAGATGCTTTTTGCTGGACTTGAGAGGTTTGGCTGCTTTTGTTGCAGTGTACATTGACTGGGAAAGCCCAAGAACTTTGGTCTGCTTTATCTCTTGAAGATAGCTTTAATTATGATTCACTAAAAGCCATTAAGGGCTTATGAATTGGCTCTTGAGGCTTATCGCCAAAAAAACTGTAGTCATTTGAAAACTGCCAATCAGATGTTTGTAGAGTTTACCCATGAGAAGGGTACACTTTGATAAATGTTGCCAGTGACTAATTTTTAGCAACTCCGTGAAATTATTTTACTAGATTTTAAAAATTCGTTATTCATTAGATTTTAAAAATTTGTGAAAATTCGAGAAAATGGTGGTGCATTTAAACGAACGAAAAGTTGCTGCTGTGGCGCAGGCTGCGGTGTGTGCTGACGAGTTCGCATTAACTCATAAAAGTACTTTCGCTTCGCCTTTGTGTTGGGAAACATCTCAGTATAATACAGAGAAATATTCTAGGAATTCAAGAGCATCTAAACCATCGTCCCAAGATGAAAACAATGAGTGTGAATTTGATCATCTTGTCGCTTGTTGTCCAGAATTGAAGTAAAAACCAATCCAAGGGACAAGCGCCATAAGGTTTTGCTTTTGTGCATGTTGCTCTGACTCTGTTGGGCTTAATTGGGGGTAGTGTGAGTTCCATTACACAATTTATATATTCGGTCTCAACTGGTTTCAGGATTGGTTAAGGTTGCTGTTCGTCCTCAGCTACCTGTGGAGGGGTTTGACATTATTCTTGGGAACGATTTGGCTGGTGGAAAGGTGTTGGCCTTTCCAGAGGTAATTGATGATCCATTGTCTGAATTACAAGGGTCTCAGTAAGCAGTAGATATGGCGTCTGAATTTCCTTCTGTTTTTCCTGCCTGCGTAGTAATGCGAGTGCAGTCTCATAAATTTATCGATACTGTGGATCTATCTAATAGTTTTTTGTCTCTAAGTGATGGCCCCGACCTTTCTCCAGATGTTTTTCTCATTTCTTGGGCTACACAGTCCGAGTCCATGTCCATTGTTTGTGGTGCTGAATCAGTACAGCCACTGTCCATTGAGAAAGAATGGAGCAGCAAAATGATCCATCCCTTGTTCGCTGCAGAGTGTCTGCAGTAGTATTGTAGGTCATGAGATACATGTCAACTCAATGGTAAGACAAGTAAAGTTATTCCTCCCACTCCTCTCTAGCCCATTCCTGTCGTGGGTGAACCTTTTGAGTGCGTTATTCTTGATTGTGTAGGACCACTTCTGCACACTAAGACTGGCTACAAATACCTATTAACCATTATGTGTGCTGCAACACATTTTCCAGAGGCTGTGCCATTGCATTCTTTATAATCTATTTTGGAAGACTTGAGTTCTTTTTTGTATTATTTATCTGATGGTCCCCGCAATGATATTGTTCGGCTGATCCAGTCTCACTGTGATCTGTTTTCAGATGTCCCTTCAGCCACCCAGCTTGTGTCTCATGATATTGATGTGGGTGATCATCTACCCATTAAGCAGCATGCATAAGCAACAACAAGGTTGATTATTTAAATAAAAATGGCTTAACAGTACTGAGTACTAATGCATGGAGTTCGCCCTGCTTTTTGGTATCAAAGCCAGATGGTACAGTGCGTTTTTGTAGTGACTACGGGAAAGTTAATGCAGTAACAAAACCTGATTCGTTTCCTTTACCACTCATGGAGGATTGTGTAGATAAAGTGGGTTCAGCTAAGTATGTGTCAAAATTAGATTTGTCTAAGGGATTCTGGCAGGTGCCCTTAGCTCCCCTTGCAGCTGAAGTGTCTTTGTTACACCAGATAACTTCTTGGAGTATTCTGTTATGGCTTTCGGTCTTTGAAATGCTCCGGCCATGCTCCAACATTTGATGAATCATGTGTTGATGGGCGTTTCTAATTGTGAGGTATACCTAGACGATATTATTGTATATTCCTCCCATTGGGCTGACCATGTGAAAATCCACCATGTTGTGTTTGGTCGATTACAAGAAGCTTCGTTAACTTTAAACCTGGCAAAATGTGAGTTTGGCAAAGCTACTGTTATTTACCTTGGTAAGCAGGTAGGACAAGGACAAGTTCACCTGGTTGCGGCGAAAGTGCAGGCAATTATGGAGCCTCGTACTAAGCGCGAGTTAAAGCATTTCCTTGGTATGACAGGATTTTATCGTGGGTTTTGCCAAATTACAAATTACAAATTTGCTTCGCTCCTCCTGTGACTTTGTTTGATCTGATGTATGTCAGAATGCTTTTGACTGTTTAAAGTTGTTGCTTTGTAATGCTCCTGTACTGTCTGCCCCAGATTTCACTACACCTTTTTTAATCAGATGTGGATGCTAGTGCTACTGATGCTGGTGCGGTTCTGTTACAGGATGACCAGAATGGAATTGACCATTCAGTGGCTTTTTATTCGAACATGTTTTTAAAATATCAACTTAACAACACAACTATTGAGAAGGAGAACCTAGCATTGTTGTTGGCTCTGCAGCATTTTGAAGTATATGTTTGTGGTAGCCCAGTACCAGTCATTGTATACACAGACTATAACCCCCTCATTTTTCTTTCTCGGATGTGAAATGCAAATCAGCGCATCATGAGATGGGCTTTGATAGTCCAGGAGTTCAACCTTGAAATTCGCTATAAGAAGGGAGGAGAGAATGTGGTAGTGGATGCCCTGTCTCGTATACACTAAAGTAATCACTGTTTTAAACAACATGAGAAGTTGTTTTTGGTGATGGGAGTGTTACATCCTGTGTCTGGTTGTTTCTTTTCTCTCTCTCTCTCTGTTTAAGTGTTTTCAGGTTGGCATTGCTGCATAACTAACGTCCTGCTCTTCCTGGCATGTGATTGGCTGTTCTGGTTGGCACCGGCTATAAAAGGCCTTTGGTGTTTAGCAATGCAGAGCTTTTTCTTTTTTTTTTAAATTTTATTCTGGCTCACACTGTTCTGCTGCCCTGGCTGCCTGCCAGTCGACAGACCTTTTTTTGTTAATTATGATGTGCTGGCCTACAGGTAAATGTGAAAGCACTTTTTGTAAATTTGGTTCTTTTTTTTTAACAAAGGAAATGTAGGGGTGGCCTGCCCTTTTTGTTTGATCTGTTGGACTTTGTTTATTGGTAGTGTAGTGAGGGTAGTTTTTTTTTATTATTATTTATTTTTTTGGAAGTTTAGCGAGTTGATGTTTTTTTTGTTTGTTTGTTTTTGTTTTTTTTTTGTTATTTTGGGCCTTGGGCCTCCCTGAAGTTATGTTTCCTTTTTTGTTTTCTTTGCTTCACTTGCATGTTGAAACAAAGTTTGTTGGCTGCATGAAAGTGCAGAGCATCCCATAAATTGTCAAATCTGCAATTGACTCGTTTATTATTATTATTAGTTATTAATCAGACATTTTTCTTTGTTCTGGTCTGGCGTCTGAGCAGGCAGTCTTGCTTCCTCTTTGTGCGTCTTACCCATAGGAGATGTAACAAGTACCCAGACCTGTAAGGGTAAAGTGTTACTGTTTTCAAGGAGAAGCCTGGTAGTGAATGCCACGTGTACCACGTTATTTATAAGAGTAATGTTAAATCTTTTTTTGCCAGTTTGTGAGTCTTTTGCTAACAGTGATTAGTGTCACTTTTAGACATAAAGTTTAAATTGGCTTCTTATTCATCAGTTTTTTGATCAAATTTGTGTTCTGCCTTAATGTAACTGTTGTACCATTTAAGGAAAATTTGGATAAAAACAAAGCAAATAAGAAGCCAACTGGGCTTCATCTTTTGTTCTTTGTCACTTAAAAACAGGATGAAAATATTAGCAAAGTCATATAATCTCAAATAACAAAAGTTTTAGTTAAAAAGCTAGTTGTTTACAAACAGGCTACTAACATGCTTTTCAGAAACCACTTTTACAAAGTACAGTTCCTGCATTCTGTTAAAAAATAACATTGTTGACATTTGGATACTACCTGCCTCTCTCAACGGCTTCGGTCAGGGAGCTCCGCTTCTGTGGTATCTAACTCTCTACTACCCACCTCTGCGATAGCTTGTTGTGTTCTGCTGTGTGGCTTATTTTCAGGTGTTTAATCAGGTTTGTGGTATTGGCACAGTATTTGACTTTTGATGTTCATCGCATTTGGTGTTGTTGGATATTGGAATGAAATAAGTCCAAACCACGCTTCTTTTTCTGTCCTCTGGTGAATCTTGGAGTGAATCAGTGACTGGCTGCTTGCACTACTTTTTCAGTGTGCCTCTGTGTTTGAGAGCAGAGGAAAAAGGTGGAAAAAAAAAGTAGTTCCAGTGCTACACCATAATTTCTGGCAGCATTTCACTTTTTAGAAGTTTCATTGAGAGATGGGATACATATCCATAAATAAACAAACAATGTCGATATTTTTGAGCCAGAATCTATTCTTAAAAGTAAACATCAGGAGTGGAAGTATTTAGGTATATATAAATGGATATTTAGGTATCGATCTGTCCGTCCCTAGTTAGAAGATCTCTTTCTGCTTTTGAAATAAATGTTACTGAGAAACCATCAGACTGGGTTCAATGTTTATTCCTTCAGCTCTTTCAGAGGATAAAACTGTTGAACACTATTACACGAACACTGATTACTCCAAAGCTAGAATGTGCCGATATTTTTAGAATGATCACTTTGTAAAGAGTAAACTAATGTTAGCTAAAGCTGACTGTAATGTAATTAGCATGTATGCTCACATTGTCCGATTTGTGTCCGCTCTTACGTCCTTGAATTATACATCGACTGGCATTTTTTTTCCAATAACGTATGCACTTATTTTTTATTTATTATTACTTCTTGAAAGCCACAATCTTTTGCATAACCAAACAGCTTCTGCCTCCCATAAAACAGTCCTTCCTTGAGGATATTAAGATATCAAGCACATTTTCAAATAAATGCATGTCGACATTAGACTACTGCTCTATTATGTGTTTATAATGAGTTAACATGTTCACACAACAGAGCTGTTCAGGTAGTGTGATTACTGAATGAGCTAAACTTGCTTCTCATATCTCAGGTGGATGGTGCAGGACTGAACAGTTACTGTGATGATGTTGAAGATGTATCATGGCTTGCGCAAAACATTGTGCCGTTAAATACCTTGAAAATAAATGGGCAGATCTGGTGACACATCTACAAAACCTTCCTCTCATCGTTGATAATCTCCGTCAGCGCAAGGTATTCGGTGTCCATCAACTTGATGCTCTCGAAGCAGAGAAAACAGATTTTGACAAAGCAAGATTTATATTGAGCTTTGTCACTAAACAAGGGGAGAAAGCCAGTTATGAGTTACTCAGGATCCTCGATGTCACCAGGAAAAGGACATTACATCAAGGTTTACACATCTGGATCAGCTGTTTCTCCTTCAGGGAAGATGCTGAGACCAACTACAGTGTTGGTGAGTGATGGTCTTTTGATGACTGAAAGAAAAATATGGATAACATACTATGGTTTATGTCACACATAGGTTTTAATGGTTCATTTGGATTTCAGTATCTACAGTTAAATATGTGCACATGTCTGACCTGCAAAACACTGAAATACGTTTAATAGTAACACATACTACACTGTGCTGACTATGTAATGAATTTCAGGTACGGAGCCCTGTCGGAACTACCAGAGAGTGCTTAAAGAGCAAGCTAAAAACATTCTTAAGAGACAGTGGGAGCAGCACTATAAATACCTGAACTACAAAACAGAAGAAGACTTCACTTACATACCTGTAGTCCTGGACACAGACACAGAGGTGAACTCTGCACAAAATAAAATTAAAATGAAAAACAGGAAGTGCAAGAAACTGCGTCACAAAAAACTAAGGAGCTACATTCCTGAGCAGAAACAGAAACTCACACCTGAAGACCTTCTGAACAGCCATGAAAAGACAATCCTGCTTATAGGAAAACCTGGAATAGGGAAAACATCAGTCGTCCTGGAAATGCTCTCCCACTGGTCCCAAAAAGACAAAAGAGAATTAGACTACATGTTTTACTTTGATGAGGCTACACTAAGCCAGATCTCGAACCCTATTTCATTGGAATCTCTTCTATTTGATCTGTACTGCAAACCACAAAAAAAAAAAGATAGAGAGGAAGTCTTGCAGGATATTGAGGAAAACGCAGAGAGTGTTATCATTGTGTTTGATGGCATCAGTACTTTACAGAACAACCCATCCTTACAGAAGATCATGAATCGTGACCTTCCTGAAGCGAAGATTGTCCTGACATGCAGATCAGAGTCGGAAGATGATTCCTTTTTGACGATCAGGTCTCTGTGTAAAGTCTATGTTCAGGGGTTCAGTAAGGAGTCTGTCTGTAAATACTTTGAACAGATGATGGGTTCTGATTCAGATCGTCTGAGTTTAGTGTTGAACAATCAAGAACTGGTCAGTCTTTGTCATGTACCAGTGTATGCATTCATGGTGGCAGCCTGCATGTCTTTCAGAAACCCAACATCTCCCAAGTGTCCACTGACCGTTACAGAAATGTATGTCCAAATCCTCCGTCAAGACTTGAAAAAAGCTGGAAACAAAACCTCCAGCCAAGTCGATAAGTACATAAAAGAAATTAGGGATCAACTTTTTCCCCTGATGGAAAGTGCCTTCAGTGCAACATTGCAGAAAACTGTGAACCTGCCAAATATTCACAGTGCTGATCCTGAAATTAGTAAAGTTGTGCTGAAAACAGTCACCATTGAAGACTCTCCCACCTCTGTTGAACAATACCATGCATTTCCTCACAGTACAGTCCAGGAGTTCTTCTCTGCAATGTGGCTGCTTGTGAATCCAGCTGAGATTGACAGGGTTCTCCAAGTTTGTCTGACTGAAGATCAAAAGCACCTGAAATACATGATTCCTTTCCTCTGTGGACTTTTGTCAAAACAGAATCATAAACTCCTGAAGAATCTCTTTCTGGAGGATCAAATCAAAAGAGCCTCTGACAAATTCTTCATAAAACTCATGAACACGTTTTTTCAGCCTCAGTCAAATGGAGAGCTTATGGATGAAGATGTTGATGCTGTCTTTGTGTGTCAGTGCCTGTATGAGTCTCAGTCACCTGATGCTTGCTTGCTGTTCCTGGAGAAAGTGAACTATCATCTAGACTTGAGTGGAAATGATCTTGATCCCCATCAGTGCTGTACTGTGTCTTATGTGATCAGCCAGTCCAATGAAAGACAGGTTCACCTGAGCTTGGAGGACTGCAGTATATCTGACACTGGGATCCAGATGATTCTCAGAATCGCACCACATCTTAGGTATATATGTTTCTATGTGGAGTTTGTACGATATTGCATTTTTTTCAATTTCTGTGTTTTAATCAATACTTAACAAGAATTTAATAACCAGTAAAGCTGTGGTGATTTTTGCAGGTGTAAGTCTTTAACTCTCTGTCATATATGGATGTCAGTGCTGGGTTGTGAGAGACCCAGAGATTTCACAGCTTTACTGGATGTCTGTGGGAAGCAGATGCACCTTCCTGTTCTTGGTGAAACATCCATGTTTAGAAAGGCTGGAAAGATCATAAGAGAAAGCTCAGAGAAAATCAGCCTCCATCTACACTTTGAAGAAGACTCACAGCAGCTCAGTGATGCCCACTGCAGCATGATTATCGAGACACTTCCACAGATAAGCTCACTAAGGTGAATAATGCAGCACTACATAAATATCACATACCAGTATATTTAGTTCACACAGCCACAAAAGTAAGGACATCCCATGAGGTGTATTTTCAACACATTTGCATGTGTATATGTGTTCTTGATTTAAATAACAACTAAAGTTGATCTTATTAAGTATCATGAAAAATTGTTCTTTGGAATAATTTAAAAAGTCACAAAGTTGTTAGTGAACCTGCAAGTTCTAATAGTTGATGGTTCCCTGTTTGGTAGAGAAAACCTCTTTTAACGTTTCTTGTAATTGTCTAACAGTCTCCTATATCAGCTCGGAGAAATTTCCGCCTACTCGTCTTTACAAAAGTTCTTAATTTGTGTGATGTTTGAGGGCTTTATTTTGTGTACTACCTACCCCACAGCATTTCTATGAGGTTAAGATAACTTGACCTTTCCATACCTACTATTTTTTCTTTATTCATTTTTGTGTAAATTCACTTGATACCTGAGTATTGTGGGGTATTTTCTGCTGTTCTTGAGAACAATGGTGAAGGGCAAAGCTGTCTGATCTATTCATGCACTTTTCCAAGTTTCAAGTGTCTAAACTTGCCTTATCATGGTTCTTGGAGACTGTGTGCAGCATCTTCTGGTCAGTTCTTGGATTGTATTTAGTGTGAAGGCCTGGCCTGGATTAATTGCCAGCAATTTAAGGTTTTCTCATTCTGTAGATAATCTTACAGATTGCAGTAACATACGTTGTATATAGCCTTAAAACCCTTCCTAAACTCAAAAAGGCATCTGCAGTCTTTTTTCTGAAGGCCTCAGGTTTTTTTTTTTATCTTGGCATTATGTAAGACACCTCAGTTTCTGAGACCAAACCACTGAACAGGTTTCTCACTGTATGTTTATTTAAGGCAGTGCCCTCCAAGTTATTTTCTCTTTTATATCATTTGCCTCTGTTTTGGTGTACATGATTCTAGTTTTAGCCATTTTGTGTAATCATTTCGTGTAGCAGTAGTTTTCTGCCCAAGAAAACTGAATTTCTGTTCTTGTCAATACTATAAATGGGTGCTGAATATGTGTTATTTTTAAAAAGACATCAGTATCATAATAACAATCAAATATTCACCCATACAAATATAATGAAAACACACCTTTTAATGGGATCTACTTACATTTTCATAACACTATAGATTCACACAATATTATTATAAGAACATTTTAAAACGGCTTTAACAAACTATATTGGCTGTCACTTGTGTCATACATTATGTTTAGCAACTATTTTTGTGGTGTTTATCCTGTTTGTTCACTAAAAGATGGAAAACTACAACAAATAATGGCTATTCCAGTAAGATTACACAAACTTAATGTCCTCAAAACTAGATGATCTACAAAATATAAACACTGTAAACTGTTATGTACTAAACTGTTATTTACTGTTAACTATTTTTTGGAATTTTTTGTATGTTGGTGACCTTTACAAAAACAACCTTTAAGCAGTTCCTCTTGACAGTACAGTGTTTATCGCTTTTCTTTAGCTTCTTTAGTCATGACAACAACCTCACACTGCTTCGTAATACTTTTCTGAAGCAGCAAAAAAGCTTCAGCATAGCCTCACCAGATCTAAATTTAAATCTTGTCTGAATTTCACCTAAACAGATGTGTTGTCTTGCACTGTCATGTTTGAATTGTCAATGTCTTGTTTGTAAGGTCTGTTTTGTAAACTGTTTAACACTGTGGTAATTAATAGTGTGATCATACTGTTGGCTTTAAATAGACTTTTTAGCTGAAATTCAACAATTTGAAATATTTTCACAGTTGACAAGGTGTCGAAAGTGGACTGTTGTATAATGTAATTACAGTTTTACTTTCAAAATAAGAATTACAGTAAGGTGCAATGATGTATATAAACAGAACCTTACTGTAAAAGCACTACACTACACTTCTGTAAAACATGTATAGTAATAACTAAATTGTCACTACTATAAATAAAGAGCACTATACTGGAGAAACTGCTGCCAGTTAATTACTGTAATTTTACAGATTATTTTATAGTGTATGTGCATGATACCATTTTTTGTCTGCCTGTGTATGAGTGTACCATTAACTACTTGAACCCCAGGCTTATTATTAATCTTAAGACTAAATGTCCTATAAAAATAAGCTGTGTAAGTTATGTACTTATAATTGAGGAACTGAAATGGTAACCCACATACAGGCTCTTGTCATTCAAGGTTAAATTCTGTTTGTTTAAAACAATCCTTGAAGTTAACATTTTTGATTAAATCTGCAGGTTTGAGTTTCCTGATAATTCTCCGATGCTGACTGAGCGCAGATCACAGATAATCGAGTCTATTCAGTGTGATCTTGTGCTACGAGGGGCCATTTTTGAAATGCAGCAAAAAGACACTTTGTCATCAGTGTTGAGGCTCTTCTATGAGGATCCGTTTGATGTTTGTGATTTTTTGATAAAGCTACGTTTCCTCGTCAAAAGCATGGAAGAATTTGACACCTTAAAAATTGCATATGAGTTCATTCCACCAGTCTGGATCATAAACCTCTCAGAGAGAAAGAGCTCCTTCTTCCTAGAAGTGCTGAAACTCCAAAGAGTGAAGAAACCAGTAGAGCTGACAGGTTGGTCAGATGAAGAGAGTGAAGTGAGGAGTTTCCTTCAGTGTCTGCCCTACATCTCCCAGCTGAGGTGAGTGTTTTATTATGATTAAAAATCATGCACAAAGTTAATGATAGAGATTTTATGAGCCAGTATGTTTTAATGATGGAGTAATTTGTATTGTATTGGTGCATCACAGTAAAACTTCCATTTCTGTTTTATTTTCAGAGGTAGTGACATTTACAAAACATACCTAAACTGGGTTGCACAGTGTGAGCAGAATGCTTGCATTTCCTTCTTCATGTTTTAAAAATGCAAACCAAAATTTGGTTTGGCTTGTGGGATGAGCTAAACTTGATGAGCAGCATTTGTAAACTGGTAAAATTGTAAAATCCTGGTTTAATTTCCCTGAGTGCACCCGGGTCATTTAAGAACTGTATGATTTTGAGCATAATCTCTTAGTCACGTCCAGTACAAACAAAGGCTGTGGCATTTCTGCCATGAACACAAATAAATCATAGCACATACAGAAGCCACAGTGTGCAGGAAAAGAAAGTTAACTGGAAAAGAAAACAGTCAGGTCATTATTTAGGGGAGACCTGCTCTTTTTATCAGTTTTGGTAAATCAAAATAAGTGCTTCATGATTTATAATTTTCTTCCCGGTGTTTTGCAGTTTGGGAGGGGAAGGCAAAAGAGCAGCAACCACCCCTTTGGTCTTTTTATAGGCACTGAAGTGCCATTGCGCCTATTTAGTAAATCATGACAGACGTTTTTTAACAACAAAAGTTTGTGGCAGCTCAAAACGTTAGTAAATCTGCTCCTTAGTGTTAATTCAGTAAAAGAGAGAAACAGACAAAATGAAAGAAACTGCAAGAAAAGAGCATAACAAATACTCAGTGATTTGAAAATGATCGTTCCTAATGTTCTGGTAGTCCTTAAGGTCTTGGACAGTGCAGGACAAATCCTTCTAAAGAGTGAATGAAAAGTTGAGTGCTTTTCTGAATGTTCCTGTTTATTTCAAATCAGGAGAAACTGCCTGTTCTTACTTGTGTTTCTGAATCGTTTTCTGTCTCTGCAGATTCAGATCTCCACAGAGTGAGAGTGATGAGTGGAGCAAGAGAGTGAATTCATTCCTGCTGGATCTGTGTCTGCAAGCAGCTCTATATCAGAAAGAGGAGATTCACACAACTGTAGAGGAGCTGATGTGGTACGCCTATGCTGAAAAAGGAGAGTTTCTTCTGGATCTGTTCTCACATGTGAAGAACTATGAGACTCAAACAGGCAGGAGTGTTCTTCCAGCATTACAGCCAGTTTACCAGTCAGCTCCTGCAGAGTGGATCATTAACCTCTCAGAGAGAAAGAGCTCCCTCTTCCTAGAAGTGCTGAAACTCCAAACAGAGAAGAAACCAGTAGTGCTGACAGGCTGGTCAGATGAAGAGAGTGAAGTGAGGAGTTTCCTTCAGTGTCTGCCCTACATCTCCCAGCTGAGGTGAGTGGAAAGTCTTTCTGTAATTCATGTCATTTTCATGGCTAAAGAATTTCAACGATAAAAAGAATTTTATAAGCTCATGTGTTTGGATGTATTTTATGAATTCAGCCTCTCATGATGAGCTCACTGATGATGTTTTACTGTGTGTTTTAACTCACTGAGATTTGGTTTGATATGGAGTTGCTTTCTCCTGAGTAGTACATGCAATTACAGCTAAAAGTATCCCAGTAGAAGTGAAAATGAACATTAACAATTCTGAAATATGAGCCTCACCACTCACATATGCATAGCGTATTAAATAAATTAGTTGTTTCGATTTTGTATTAGCATCAGAGCCATGTTTTTCTGTTTAGCAGTTCAATAAGATGTGGTGACAATCTGTATACGTTTAAAGGGCTTATATGCTAATATTCTCCTTTATGCATTTATGATGCTGTTCTGCACATTTTAAGCAACCATTATTGTGAGTGGAGATCCAGTTTCATTTCTATAGCACCTTTCTCAATCCCAAGAACACTTAACAAAAACACTACAGTACAACAGCAAAGAACACACACACACACACTCACAGTTCCCCAGCTAGTGGGAGAAAACTCTCTTGATGGTGGTGTATAGTCTACTCGTCACTGCGGTAATATCTCTCAGACGCTTCTTGCTTGATGATAGAAGAAGTCCAAGGCCAGTGTGGAAAGTTCCAAAACAAATCAGAACATACCACAAACAATACTAAACAAGCAAACAAACAAAACAGACGCAAAATGGCAGCATAAAACGCGCACTTCAGTTTTACACCAGACATGACAGACAGACAGGCACGACACACACATACAGATTGCGTAGATCACTGAGATTTACACAAGTAAATACATGATAAACAGACATTTTGATTTGTTTTCTTCTCAGTATTGCTATGGTGTGTTATGGAGAACGTTTGTGATAATAAAACAAGAAATATATTCAGACACTTTTGTTTTTGCTGTTTAATATATGTCCCGTGCATATGTCCACTTCAGATTCACATATGTAATGTCTTTTCACTTTGTACTTGCTCAATCTAACACATCAAAACCCGTTAGACAGTCTCAGGGAGCTGTTAGCGGTCTGTATCAGCTACATTTATTTTGTTTGTGCTCAAATAAAAAAACAAACAATGCGCGTTCAACAAAAAAAAGCCTGATTAAAAGAAAAAGAGTGAACGAATCAGAAAATTGTGATAACAAATAAAAAAAATCACCCAGGAAGTAAAGAAAATGTGTGCACAATTAAAAGAAACGAGAGAACGAATTGTTAATCCAGGGAAATAATTATGAAATCGTAACCACGAATAAAAGAAAATGTGCGTACGAACTGCAAAACTTCAAATGAATCTTTTTGTTTTACCTCCGTCCTCTCCAGGGCTCCGTAGTTTTAGCTGTATGTTTGGGGTTGTCGTCCTGTTGAGATGTCCATCTCCTCCTTTCTTGGCCAGTGAGATGAAATTCTGTAAAATCTTCTGTAAAGTCTTATGTTCCCTTTGATGACGTGTAATTCCCCAGCACTGTTTACAGAGAAGCAGCCCCATATCATGATGCTCCCACTGTCGTACTTCACTGTGGGTATGGTGCTCTTGGGATCAAAAGCAATGCCTTTTATAAACCATATGTAATTTGCACAAGAACAGTTTTTTTTTATTATTTTTGCAGCATTAACATATTTGCAGCATTAAATAGCATTAATGATTCTAGCCCGGAAAAGGACGGCATGCCCACTCCACGTGTGGGGAAAGGACCTGCCCCAGGTGGAGGTGTTTAAGTATCTCAGGGTCTTGTTCACGAGTGATGGGATAAGGGATCGTAAGATCAGCCACAGGCTGAGAAAGGGAGGCAGAAATAATGCTGTCACTGTACCTGACTGTAGTGGTAAAGAGGGAGCTGAGCCATTAGGGCAAAGCTCTCTGTTTACCAGTCAGTCTATGTCCCAACCCCTCACCCATTGTCATGAGCTGTGGGTGATGACCGAAAGAATGAGATCACGAATGCAAGCAGTGGAAATGAGCTTTCTTCGCAGGGTGGCAGGCTACACTCTACTTGATAGGGTAAGGAGCTCGGAGTAGAGCCGCTACTCCTCCATTTTGAGAGGAGTCAGTGGAGGTGGGTCAGGCATCTGATCAGGATGCTCCTTGGATGGCTCCCGGTGGGGATTTACCAGGCACAGCCTACTGGGACGAGACCCGGGGTCCCCCCGGAATGGGGACAGGGTCGTCTATGATTCTCCACTTTCACAACCGCAACCGCAACCCTATCTGGACTAAACTAATTTGCCCTATAAATTTTAAAATTCAGTTTTTTAAACCAGTTTTTAAAAATGTTTATGAGTAGAAAGCCAAAAGACATTTTTGTGTAAATTTAAAGAGGATGTATGCGCTGGAAGTAAATTTATTGGTATATTAAACAATTAATTTTGAACAATTACTTTCATGTGTAATAATGTAAAATTCTGATTTAAGAAACGTGAAGGAAAAATCCAGAAATGGATTTTAATCAGTGTTTTGAAAAAGTCAGTGTGGTAGCTCTCTGATCATACACTGACCATGAAACCATAACAAGCTGAGCTACTGAGATTCTTCTGAATGTTAGTGTTACAGCAGCAGAAGTGATACAGCTACAGTAGAGACTTTCACTGCTGCTGGTTTCTCTCTCTCGTGTTTCTGAATCGTTTCCTGTCTCTACAGTTTTATATCTCCACAGAGTGAGAGTGATGAGTGGATAAAGAGAGTGAATTCATTCCTGATGGATCTGTGTCTGCAAGCAGCTCTATATAAGAAAGAGGATATTCACGCAACTGTAGAGAAGCTGATGTCGTACGCCTATGGTGAAGAAGGAGAGTTTCTGCTGGATCTGTTCTCACATGTGAAGAACTGTGAGACTCAGACAGGCAGGAGTTTTCTTCCAGCATTACAGCCAGTTTACCAGTCAGCTCCTGCAGAGTGGATCATAGACCTCTCAGAGAGAAAGAGCTCCTTCTTCCTAGAAGTGCTGAAACTCCAAAGAGTGAAGAAACCAGTAGAGCTGACAGGTTGGTCAGATGAAGAGAGTGAAGTGAGGAGTTTCCTTCAGTGTCTGCCCTACATCTCCCAGCTGAGGTGAGTGTTTTATTATGATTAAAAATCATGCACAGAGTTAATGATAGAGATTTTATGAGCCAGTATGTTTTAATGATGGAGTAATTTGTATTGTATTGGTGCATCACAGTAAAACTTCCATTTCTGTTTTATTTTCAGAGGTAGTGACATTTACAAAACATACCTAAACTGGGTTGCACAGTGTGAGCAGAATGCTTGCATTTCCTTCTTCATGTTTTAAAAATGCAAACCAAAATTTGGTTTGGCTTGTGGGATGAGCTAAACTTGATGAGCAGCATTTGTAAACTGGTAAAATTGTAAAATCCTGGTTTAATTTCCCTGAGTGCACCCGGGTCATTTAAGAACTGTATGATTTTGAGCATAATCTCTTAGTCACGTCCAGTACAAACAAAGGCTGTGGCATTTCTGCCATGAACACAAATAAATCATAGCACATACAGAAGCCACAGTGTGCAGGAAAAGAAAGTTAACTGGAAAAGAAAACAGTCAGGTCATTATTTAGGGGAGACCTGCTCTTTTTATCAGTTTTGGTAAATCAAAATAAGTGCTTCATGATTTATAATTTTCTTCCCGGTGTTTTGCAGTTTGGGAGGGGAAGGCAAAAGAGCAGCAACCACCCCTTTGGTCTTTTTATAGGCACTGAAGTGCCATTGCGCCTATTTAGTAAATCATGACAGACGTTTTTTAACAACAAAAGTTTGTGGCAGCTCAAAACGTTAGTAAATCTGCTCCTTAGTGTTAATTCAGTAAAAGAGAGAAACAGACAAAATGAAAGAAACTGCAAGAAAAGAGCATAACAAATACTCAGTGATTTGAAAATGATCGTTCCTAATGTTCTGGTAGTCCTTAAGGTCTTGGACAGTGCAGGACAAATCCTTCTAAAGAGTGAATGAAAAGTTGAGTGCTTTTCTGAATGTTCCTGTTTATTTCAAATCAGGAGAAACGGCCTGTTCTTACTTGTGTTTCTGAATCGTTTTCTGTCTCTGCAGATTCAGATCTCCACAGAGTGAGAGTGATGAGTGGAGAAAGAGAGTGAATTCATTCCTGCTGGATCTGTGTCTGCAAGCAGCTCTATATCAGAAAGAGGAGATTCACACAACTGTAGAGGAGCTGATGTGGTACGCCTATGCTGAAAAAGGAGAGTTTCTTCTGGATCTGTTCTCACATGTGAAGAACTATGAGACTCAAACAGGCAGGAGTGTTCTTCCAGCATTACAGCCAGTTTACCAGTCAGCTCCTGCAGAGTGGATCATTAACCTCTCAGAGAGAAAGAGCTCCCTCTTCCTAGAAGTGCTGAAACTCCAAACAGAGAAGAAACCAGTAGTGCTGACAGGCTGGTCAGATGAAGAGAGTGAAGTGAGGAGTTTCCTTCAGTGTCTGCCCTACATCTCCCAGCTGAGGTGAGTGGAAAGTCTTTCTGTAATTCATGTCATTTTCATGGCTAAAGAATTTCAACGATAAAAAGAATTTTATAAGCTCATGTGTTTTGGATGTATTTTATGAATTCAGCCTCTCATGATGAGCTCACTGATGATGTTTTACTGTGTGTTTTAACTCACTGAGATTTGGTTTGATATGGAGTTGCTTTCTCCTGAGTAGTACATGCAATTACAGCTAAAAGTATCCCAGTAGAAGTGAAAATGAACATTAACAATTCTGAAATATGAGCCTCACCACTCACATATGCATAGCGTATTAAATAAATTAGTTGTTTCGATTTTGTATTAGCATCAGAGCCATGTTTTTCTGTTTAGCAGTTCAATAAGATGTGGTGACAATCTGTATACGTTTAAAGGGCTTATATGCTAATATTCTCCTTTATGCATTTATGATGCTGTTCTGCACATTTTAAGCAACCATTATTGTGAGTGGAGATCCAGTTTCATTTCTATAGCACCTTTCTCAATCCCAAGAACACTTAACAAAAACACTACAGTACAACAGCAAAGAACACACACACACACACTCACAGTTCCCCAGCTAGTGGGAGAAAACTCTCTTGATGGTGGTGTATAGTCTACTCGTCACTGCGGTAATATCTCTCAGACGCTTCTTGCTTGATGATAGAAGAAGTCCAAGGCCAGTGTGGAAAGTTCCAAAACAAATCAGAACATACCACAAACAATACTAAACAAGCAAACAAACAAAACAGACGCAAAATGGCAGCATAAAACGCGCACTTCAGTTTTACACCAGACATGACAGACAGACAGGCACGACACACACATACAGATTGCGTAGATCACTGAGATTTACACAAGTAAATACATGATAAACAGACATTTTGATTTGTTTTCTTCTCAGTATTGCTATGGTGTGTTATGGAGAACGTTTGTGATAATAAAACAAGAAATATATTCAGACACTTTTGTTTTTGCTGTTTAATATATGTCCCGTGCATATGTCCACTTCAGATTCACATATGTAATGTCTTTTCACTTTGTACTTGCTCAATCTAACACATCAAAACCCGTTAGACAGTCTCAGGGAGCTGTTAGCGGTCTGTATCAGCTACATTTATTTTGTTTGTGCTCAAATAAAAAAACAAACAATGCGCGTTCAACAAAAAAAAGCCTGATTAAAAGAAAAAGAGTGAACGAATCAGAAAATTGTGATAACAAATAAAAAAAATCACCCAGGAAGTAAAGAAAATGTGTGCACAATTAAAAGAAACGAGAGAACGAATTGTTAATCCAGGGAAATAATTATGAAATCGTAACCACGAATAAAAGAAAATGTGCGTACGAACTGCAAAACTTCAAATGAATCTTTTTGTTTTACCTCCGTCCTCTCCAGGGCTCCGTAGTTTTGGCTGTATGTTTGGGGTTGTCGTCCTGTTGAGATGTCCATCTCCTCCTTTCTTGGCCAGTGAGATGAAATTCTGTAAAATCTTCTGTAAAGTCTTATGTTCCCTTTGATGACGTGTAATTCCCCAGCACTGTTTACAGAGAAGCAGCCCCATATCATGATGCTCCCACTGTCGTACTTCACTGTGGGTATGGTGCTCTTGGGATCAAAAGCAATGCCTTTTATAAACCATATGTAATTTGCACAAGAACAGTTTTTTTTTATTATTTTTGCAGCATTAACATATTTGCAGCATTAAATAGCATTAATGATTCTAGCCCGGAAAAGGACGGCATGCCCACTCCACGTGTGGGGAAAGGACCTGCCCCAGGTGGAGGTGTTTAAGTATCTCAGGGTCTTGTTCACGAGTGATGGGATAAGGGATCGTAAGATCAGCCACAGGCTGAGAAAGGGAGGCAGAAATAATGCTGTCACTGTACCTGACTGTAGTGGTAAAGAGGGAGCTGAGCCATTAGGGCAAAGCTCTCTGTTTACCAGTCAGTCTATGTCCCAACCCCTCACCCATTGTCATGAGCTGTGGGTGATGACCGAAAGAATGAGATCACGAATGCAAGCAGTGGAAATGAGCTTTCTTCGCAGGGTGGCAGGCTACACTCTACTTGATAGGGTAAGGAGCTCGGAGTAGAGCCGCTACTCCTCCATTTTGAGAGGAGTCAGTGGAGGTGGGTCAGGCATCTGATCAGGATGCTCCTTGGATGGCTCCCGGTGGGGATTTACCAGGCACAGCCTACTGGGACGAGACCCGGGGTCCCCCCGGAATGGGGACAGGGTCGTCTATGATTCTCCACTTTCACAACCGCAACCGCAACCCTATCTGGACTAAACTAATTTGCCCTATAAATTTTAAAATTCAGTTTTTTAAACCAGTTTTTAAAAATGTTTATGAGTAGAAAGCCAAAAGACATTTTGTGTAAATTTAAAGAGGATGTATGCGCTGGAAGTAAATTTATTGGTATATTAAACAATTAATTTTGAACAATTACTTTCATGTGTAATAATGTAAAATTCTGATTTAAGAAACGTGAAGGAAAAATCCAGAAATGGATTTTAATCAGTGTTTTGAAAAAGTCAGTGTGGTAGCTCTCTGATCATACACTGACCATGAAACCATAACAAGCTGAGCTACTGAGATTCTTCTGAATGTTAGTGTTACAGCAGCAGAAGTGATACAGCTACAGTAGAGACTTTCACTGCTGCTGGTTTCTCTCTCTCGTGTTTCTGAATCGTTTCCTGTCTCTACAGTTTTATATCTCCACAGAGTGAGAGTGATGAGTGGATAAAGAGAGTGAATTCATTCCTGATGGATCTGTGTCTGCAAGCAGCTCTATATAAGAAAGAGGATATTCACGCAACTGTAGAGAAGCTGATGTCGTACGCCTATGGTGAAGAAGGAGAGTTTCTGCTGGATCTGTTCTCACATGTGAAGAACTGTGAGACTCAGACAGGCAGGAGTTTTCTTCCAGCATTACAGCCAGTTTACCAGTCAGCTCCTGCAGAGTGGATCATAGACCTCTCAGAGAGAAAGAGCTCCTTCTTCCTAGAAGTGCTGAAACTCCAAAGAGTGAAGAAACCAGTAGAGCTGACAGGTTGGTCAGATGAAGAGAGTGAAGTGAGGAGTTTCCTTCAGTGTCTGCCCTACATCTCCCAGCTGAGGTGAGTGTTTTATTATGATTAAAAATCATGCACAGAGTTAATGATAGAGATTTTATGAGCCAGTATGTTTTAATGATGGAGTAATTTGTATTGTATTGGTGCATCACAGTAAAACTTCCATTTCTGTTTTATTTTCAGAGGTAGTGACATTTACAAAACATACCTAAACTGGGTTGCACAGTGTGAGCAGAATGCTTGCATTTCCTTCTTCATGTTTTAAAAATGCAAACCAAAATTTGGTTTGGCTTGTGGGATGAGCTAAACTTGATGAGCAGCATTTGTAAACTGGTAAAATTGTAAAATCCTGGTTTAATTTCCCTGAGTGCACCGGGTCATTTAAGAACTGTATGATTTTGAGCATAATCTCTTAGTCACGTCCAGTACAAACAAAGGCTGTGGCATTTCTGCCATGAACACAAATAAATCATAGCACATACAGAAGCCACAGTGTGCAGGAAAAGAAAGTTAACTGGAAAAGAAAACAGTCAGGTCATTATTTAGGGGAGACCTGCTCTTTTTATCAGTTTTGGTAAATCAAAATAAGTGCTTCATGATTTATAATTTTCTTCCCGGTGTTTTGCAGTTTGGGAGGGGAAGGCAAAAGAGCAGCAACCACCCCTTTGGTCTTTTTATAGGCACTGAAGTGCCATTGCGCCTATTTAGTAAATCATGACAGACGTTTTTTAACAACAAAAGTTTGTGGCAGCTCAAAACGTTAGTAAATCTGCTCCTTAGTGTTAATTCAGTAAAAGAGAGAAACAGACAAAATGAAAGAAACTGCAAGAAAAGAGCATAACAAATACTCAGTGATTTGAAAATGATCGTTCCTAATGTTCTGGTAGTCCTTAAGGTCTTGGACAGTGCAGGACAAATCCTTCTAAAGAGTGAATGAAAAGTTGAGTGCTTTTCTGAATGTTCCTGTTTGTTTCAAATCAGGAGAAACGGCCTGTTCTTACTTGTGTTTCTGAATCGTTTTCTGTCTCTGCAGATTCAGATCTCCACAGAGTGAGAGTGATGAGAGGAGAAAGAGAGTGAATTCATTCCTGCTGGATCTGTGTCTGCAAGCAGCTCTATATCAGAAAGAGGAGATTCACACAACTGTAGAGGAGCTGATGTGGTACGCCTATGCTGAAAAAGGAGAGTTTCTTCTGGATCTGTTCTCACATGTGAAGAACTGTGAGACTCAAACAGGCAGGAGTGTTTCTTCCAGCATTACAGCCAGTTTACCAGTCAGCTCCTGCAGTCTGGATCATTAACCTCTCAGAGAGAAAGAGCTCCCTCTTCCTAGAAGTGCTGAAACTCCAAACAGAGAAGAAACCAGTAGTGCTGACAGGCTGGTCAGATGAAGAGAGTGAAGTGAGGAGTTTCCTTCAGTGTCTGCCCTACATCTCCCAGCTGAGGTGAGTGGAAAGTCTTTCTGTAATTCATGTCATTTTCATGGCTAAAGAATTTCAACGATAAAAAGAATTTTATAAGCTCATGTGTTTGGATGTATTTTATGAATTCAGCCTCTCATGATGAGCTCACTGATGATGTTTTACTGTGTGTTTTAACTCACTGAGATTTGGTTTGATATGGAGTTGCTTTCTCCTGAGTAGTACATGCAATTACAGCTAAAAGTATCCCAGTAGAAGTGAAAATGAACATTAACAATTCTGAAATATGAGCCTCACCACTCACATATGCATAGCGTATTAAATAAATTAGTTGTTTCGATTTTGTATTAGCATCAGAGCCATGTTTTTCTGTTTAGCAGTTCAAGAAGATGTGGTGACAATCTGTATACGTTTAAAGGGCTTATATGCTAATATTCTCCTTTATGCATTTATGATGCTGTTCTGCACATTTTAAGCAACCATTATTGTGAGTGGAGATCCAGTTTCATTTCTATAGCACCTTTCTCAATCCCAAGAACACTTAACAAAAACACTACAGTACAACAGCAAAGAACACACACACTCACAGTTCCCCAGGTAGTGGGAGAAAACTCTCTTGATGGTGGTGTATAGTCTACTCGTCACTGCGGTAATATCTCTCAGACGCTGCTTGCTTAATGATAGAAAAAGTCCAAGGCCAGTGTGGAAAGTTCCAAAACAAATCAGAACATACCACAAACAATACTAAACAAGCAAACAAACAAAAAAGACGCAAAATGGCAGCATAAAACGCGCACTTCAGTTTTACACCAGACATGACAGACAGACAGACACGAGACACACATACAGATTGCGTAGATCACTGAGATTTACACAAGTAAATACATGATAAACAGACTGTGGCATGCGCCCGCCCCCCGGGCCCCGACGATGACGGCCGTGAGAGTCGGCAGGAAGGCGGGGCCCGAACACCCAGCGGCGACGAACCTCGGCCAGGACGGCAGGAAGAGAGCCGCGAGTGTGGAGGGGGCGGAGCGAAAAGCCCGAGTATTTCGGAGTGGCGCGAGTGACGGCGGGAGGAGGAAGACGACGACGGTGCCGGGAACGAGAGGCACCAGGGGAAGAAGCGAGTCTCGAGCTCCGCCGCCTGGGCCCCGCCCCCTGTTACGCAGCGAGGCCGCTCCACTACACCTCACCTTCGACCCTGGCGGCTGAGCCGCCAGCTGGGGGCGGTGACGAGGAGGCGGAGCAGCGAGCTCTCGTTCCCTCTCGGCTCAGGCGCTCGCGCTGCCAGCCAGATCAGCATCAGCTGGCTCTCATTAAGGCAGCGCGAGCACATGAGCCGAGAGTGAACGAGTGAACGAATCAGAAAATTGTGATAACGAATTAAAAAAATCACCCAGGAAGTAAAGAAAACGTGTGCACAATTAAAAGAAACGAGAGAACGAATTGTTAATCCAGGGAAATAATTATGAAATCGTAACCACGAATAAAAGAAAATGTGCGTACGAACTGCAAAACTTCAAATGAATCTTTTTGTTTTACCTCCGTCCTCTCCAGGGCTCCGTAGTTTTAGCTGTATGTTGGGGTTGTCGTCCTGTTGAGATGTCCATCTCCTCCTTTCTTGGCCAGTGAGATGAAATTCTGTAAAATCTTCTGTAAAGTCTTATGTTCCCTTTGATGACGTGTAATTCCCCAGCACTGTTTACAGAGAAGCAGCCCCATATCATGATGCTCCCACTGTCGTACTTCACTGTGGGTATGGTGCTCTTGGGATCAAAAGCAATGCCTTTTATAAACCATATGTAATTTGCACAAGAACAGTTTTTTTTTATTATTTTTGCAGCATTAACATATTTGCAGCATTAAATAGCATTAATGATTCTAGCCCGGAAAAGGATGGCATGCCCACTCCACGTGTGGGGAAAGGACCTGCCCCAGGTGGAGGTGTTTAAGTATTTTAGGGTCTTGTTCACGAGTGATGGGATAAGGGATCGTAAGATCAGCCACAGGCTGAGAAAGGGAGGCAGCAATAATGCTGTCACTGTACCTGACTGTAGTGGTGAAGAGGGAGCTGAGCCATTAGGGCAAAGCTCTCTGTTTACCACTCAGTCTATGTCCCAACCCTCACCCATTGTCATGAGCTGTGGGTGATGACCGAAAGAATGAGATCACGAATGCAAGCGGTGGAAATGAGCTTTCTTCGCAGGGTGGCAGGCTACACTCTACTTGATAGGGTGAGGAGCTCAGTCATCCGGGAGGAGCTCGGAGTAGAGCCGCTACTCCTCCATTTTGAGAGGAGTCAGTGGAGGTGGGTCAGGCATCTGATCAGGATGCTCCTTGGATGGCTCCCGGTGGGGATTTACCAGGCACAGCCTACTGGGACGAGACCCAGGGTCCCCCCGGAATGGGGACAGGGTCGTCTATGATTCTCCACTTTCACAACCGCAACCGCAACCCTATCTGGACTAAACTAATTTGCCCTATAAATTTTAAAATTCAGTTTTTTAAACCAGTTTTTAAAAATGTTTATGAGTAGAAAGCCAAAAGACATTTTTGTGTAAATTTAAAGAGGATGTATGCGCTGGAAGTAAATTTATTGGTATATTAAACAATTAATTTTGAACAGTTACTTTGATGTGTAATAATGTAAAATTCTGATTTAAGAAACGTGAAGGAAAAATCCAGAAACTGATTTTAATCAGTGTTTTGAAAAAGTCAGTGTGGTAGCTCTCTGATCATACACTGACCATGAAACCATAACAAGCTGAGCTACTGAGATTCTTCTGAATGTTAGTGTTACAGCAGCAGAAGTGATACAGCTACAGTAGAGACTTTCACTGCTGCTGGTTTCTCTCTCTCGTGTTTCTGAATCGTTTCTTGTCTCTACAGTTTTATATCTCCACAGAGTGAGAGTGATGAGTGGATAAAGAGAGTGAATTCATTCCTGATGGATCTGTGTCTGCAAGCAGCTCTATATCAGAAAGAGGATATTCACGCAACTGTAGAGGAGCTGATGTCGTACGCCTATGGTGAAGAAGGAGAGTTTCTTCTGGATCTGTTCTCACATGTGAAGAACTGTGAGACTCAGACAGGCAGGAGTTTTCTTCCAGCATTACAGCCAGTTTACCAGTCAGCTCCTGCAGAGTGGATCATAGACCTCTCAGAGAGAAAGAGCTCCCTCTTCCTAGAAGTGCTGAAACTCCAATCAGAGAAGAAACCAGTAGAGCTGACAGGCTGGTCAGGTGAAGAGAGTGAAGTGAGGAGTTTCCTTCAGTGTCTGCCCTACATCTCCCAGCTGAGGTGAGTGGAAAGTCTTTCTGTAATCACTGCTGACATAGTAATTAACATTGTTATTATGATTATTATAAATATTTTTATATGAGTGATTTCAGATTTCAGATTTTTATTCAGCGTCTGACAGTGAGCTCACTCTTGGTGTGTTATACTGTGTAATTCAGTCATATGGGCTCCTGAGTGGCGGAGTCCAAGAAAGCACAATTGGCCTCGCTCTCTCTGGGTGGGTAGGATGGCCCCCCCTTCTCCTCCCATCACTCAGCGCGATGCTAGTCAGCGCAGGCGTCTGTTAGCTGACATAACTGATCTGGCGGTTGGCGCTTTCCTCCGAGCGCGTTCAGCTGTCCAGTGACGTTGCGTGAGCGGCAGCTCGAAAAGAAGCGGTGGTTGGCTTCACAGGTCTCGGAGGAAGCCTGTGTTAGCCTTCACCCTCCTAGCGTTGGTAGCGTCGTGTGATTGGGGGAGTCCTAACTAGCGGGTGGAATTGGAGACGACTAAATTGGCGCAAAAATTGGGTAAAAATCCTTAAAGGAAAAAAAATACAGTCATATGTAAAAGTTTGGGTTTCTTTGATCAAACTACATTTTGTGTGTTTTCTAAGTCAAAGAAAATTAACACATCCTCTACACAGAGCACATTTTAATACACTATTACTGTTTATTTGCAGGAAAGAAAATATGTGTGGCCTGTGCAAAATTAATGGCACATTTTATATTTCATGTTTCACTTTTTTTAATGATGTTAAACCTAGCAAATAAATAGATACTAAATAATAAATAAATACTTTTTTACTTTAAGTACATCTATGAACCTGTACTGTTGAATAAAAAAATGTAAACCATGCTTCAAGTTTATATATTTATTTATTTTTTACCAGATTACTTGTTCTTTTATTTGAGTGAGGGTGCATTAAGTCTTGGCAGGTTTGGTGCGATTGCTCTGTGATATGTTTCACTTTGGTTAATGGAAAAGATGAGTTTCTGATGCTGTTTTGACACATTCATGTGTTTTTATCGTCTCTTCATAAGCTCTAAATCGGATAGAATACATAGTTTCAGTTTAAAACAAAGCAGAGGCATGTATGAGGTCATTATAGAACACTCCATATACGCAAAATTTCTCCATTTTATAAAAGCAGTGAGCCACTCGAGGCTGTTAGAGATTTCACTCTGCTTCATGCAAAACCACAATAATGCAGTGGCTTATTGCTTTAATACCACAAGACAAATAAAACAAGACATACACAAAACCAACGAGCGCAGACAGAACAGAGAACAGCATGATACAGAAAGTTCAGTGAACATTATAACAGTTATTGTACATAATAAAATCTGTCCAATCAGTTGTGATCTTTTACTTATATGACTTTTGTTTTCATCTGATGATTCAATGTTAAATAAGTCAGTGTAAACCTTAAGCAAATCAGAACTAAAATGCAGTAATGTATCATTTTCTGCTTTGGTCCAGACCCAGGGAACCGAACTACAAGTATAAATGCACCCTGAGACACCTGTGTATTTCTGCCACCTCTGATCACAGTGTGACACTGTGTTTGGTTGATGAGCTTAGTTTTGTAGTATAGCAGTGAATCTGCCACTGATGTGGTGTTTCTTCTGCACTCTGTATTTGTAATTAAGTACTGTGGTCATAAAATGAGTTCTCAAGTTCAGATTGTTGTAAAAAAGTGTAACAAATAATATTCACAGCAGAATAATTCTTTAGTTCTCAGAAAAATAAAGTAAAAAAGTCACTTTTCGAGTCTCATAGAGAAAATAGAGTTTTGTGGTCAAAAAAATTTTGATGAGTATTTAGTCAAAAGTCATAATTATGTATGTATAATGCGACAGGTGTAGTTTAAAGGAAACCTTTGATGTTAAACCCTTTGAAATGTGATACTTTACTCTCCCTCATTCCTGACCCTTTCACTGGTCCAGTGCTGATAAAATCAAACTTTTGCATTTGACTGTATATAAACGCATAAAGTAATTAGACATTTGTGTTTGAAACAGACGTGTTTTCTGCTGAGCAGTTCACTCTGGAACAGCTGTGAAGTTGAACTCCTCAGTACTTTCAGTGAAAATTCCAAACTGAATATTTCTTTGTCTGCTGCAACACAATATGTGACTGTGGACCCCCAACAAAGTCATTTCCTGTTGTCTGTTGTAAACAGTGAGTTTAAATCAGACTCCATCTGTTCCTCTGTGCTGATTAATGAAGCAGCCTGTCAGTCACAGCTTTAGTTTCTGAGACAGATTACTGAGCTTCACAGTGCTATGTGGTTAGTGGTTCTAGAAGATGTTATTAAAGACAGAATATGCTTTGGAGAGCACATGTACATATCATATCATATCTTCTGTAAATCTTCTATAGTTCTAAATCTTCTACAGTCGCCTCAATTATTTAGTGTTTTTATGAGATGTTTGTAGGCCACTATGTTTACAGTGTTGGAAGGTGGTTAATGTTATAACTTCTTTATGCTTATTCTGTCTATCAGAGTGGTCATATTGTCTGGAGGGGTCTGATTCTCTTTAGTCATTATAGAATGTTCTGTACTTTTCCTGTGTCTCTCTATCACTGCTGCGTAACCTTGATGCTCTGTGGTGGGTGAAGAGAAGAAAATGGTGACCTGTTAACGTCTCTGTACGAAGACGTCTTTCAGTAAACCCAACTTTCTCCTCATGAGTGCACGACTCTAGTTTATTCTCAATATCTTCAATAATTTGGGTCCTTCAGTGGCTCCAAGTCAACAGCAGCAGTGATTCTCAAGCAGAGGTTCATTTTAGTGGGGTTACTAGATGATTGTGAAAAGTACATAGTTCTGTATTTTGGGTAATGCTGTTCAATATTTCTTGTATAATCCTGAGTTACTGAGGTAAATGTAGTTAAGATCAGTTAAACTGGATCAGTCCTACAGACTAAAGCGTCTTGTGCTCCAAAAAGCTTCCCAGCATTCTTAGAAGTTTTATTGGTTTCTGTTAATTGACTTTTATTTTTCTAATTTATGAATCCTATTTTTTTATTTTGTGTTATTTTTATGTTAAAGCGTACTCTCATGTTAAACGTGACGTTTAAATGCATTTTACATATAAAATTCAACAAACCTAACCAAACATGTGACTTCTGATTTGCTTCATGACCCTGAGTGGTTCCAGCACGTCTACTAAAATAGCTGATAGATGAGCGTAACAGGTTCTAATTTGCTAGTACAGATCACTGCACTCTGTCTGGTCATCAGCTGTATCAGACATGGAGACCTGAAGTAGCTCGTCACACGTAACACGGCTATAAACTTGGACTTCAGCCCTAAAATGCACAGTGTGCATTTCTTACACTGGCCGTGACAGACAGACAGACACGGGACACACTGACAGAGTGCATGAGTTACTGAGATTTACTCAGTAAAATGCTATTTTTAACATAATTGAATTTTCATCAGTAGTGCACTCTGTAACAGACGCTGTATGAATAAAGTTTTGGAAAACAAATGTTCTAAATTACCTCTAATCACCTCTCACATGCATTTAATGTAACATATTACATTGGCATTGTATCATAGTATCTGTAAATCTTCTATAGTTCTAAATCTTGTTCAGTAGCCTCATTATTTAGTGTTTTTATGAGATGTTTGTGGGCCACTATGTTGTTTACAGTGTTGGAAGGTGGTTAATATTAAAACTTCTTCTTTATGCTTATTCTGTCTATCAGAGTAGTCATATTGTCTGGAGGGGTCTAATTCTCCTCGGTCATCTTAGAATGTTCTGTACTTTTCGTGTGTCTCTCTATCACTGGTACGTAACCTAGACACGGGGTATGGACACTGTCTGGGCTGCTGAGGGTGAAAACACTCTCTATCGTCTGTGTTTGCTGTAGAAAAAATGATATTTTTATGTAGAAGCGTACTCTCATGTTAAATTTGAGTGCATTTTACATGTTTTACAAACTTAACCAAAAATGTGACTTCTGATTTGCTTCATGACCCTGAGTGGTTCCAGCACATCTACCAAAATAGCTGATAGATGAGCGTAACAGGTTCTAATCTCATGTCAGAGCGTCTCTCTCAAGGAACGTAACACAAGAACAGAAGAACAGAAGCCAAAAAACAATGAGCCTCATTCACCAACCGTTCTTAAGAAATTTCTTCTTGAAACCCACTTTTGCAGTGTTTATGAAGATTCTGAATGTTTTCTTATTTGGGATTTGTTCTTCGGTAAGAACTGAATCTACACCCAAGAGCACAAAGGTGTGAATAGTTCTGCGGTTTATAAAAATGATATGAATGTGACATAGACTTTTTCTTAGGACCTTTCTCAAGAACAAATGTAAGAAAAATATTGTTGAATGAGGCCCGTTATTTCTAGGTGTAAGAAATATATTCTTATGGTAAATATTCTATATTCAAAAGATTTTAATTTGCTTATGAGAGATGATCTAAATCCCTTCAACTTAAAGAAAAAATAATGAGAAGACAGAAAGTAATTTCTCTAGAATCTTCAATGGTCTCAACAGTGGGCATTTTTTAACCTTTATAAGATAAGATAAGATAATCCTTTATTAATCCCACAATGGGGAAATTTGCGGTGTTACAGCAGCACAGAAGACAGAGCAGCAGGAAATATACAAACAATATATAAAATAGAATAAACAATAAAAATATAAAGATATATGTATATGTACAAAAATTACAAGAAAAATATACTATATTAAATTTAAATTTAGTAATGTAGAAATGTAGAAATGTATGTATTGTAGTGAGTATTGCACAGTGAATAAAATAACAAATAAATAAACAGTAATAAATGGAGAAATACTGCACTTGACATAATTGCACATAATGGTGGTAAACATATTGACAGTGATCCGCAGTGAATATACTATGCATGGTGGATTGAGATATTGCACACAGTAAAGTGCTGTGGCAGTGATGTTGAGAGTTCTTGCACATGGAAAGTAATTGTAAACTACTGTCTACTGAGTGCCGTGACTGTTATAGAGTCTGACAGCGGCTGGGAGGAAGGACCTGCGGTATCTCTCCTTCACGCACCGCGGGTGCCGCAGCCGGGAACTGAAGGAGCTGCTCAGTGCTGTCAGAGAGCGGTGCATGGGGTGGGACAGGTTCTTCAGCATGTTTGTTAGTTTAGTCCTCATTCTCCTGTCCCCCACCACCTCCACTGGGTCAAGAGGACATCCCAGGACAGAGCTGGACTTCCTGATGATCTTATTCAGTCTCTTCCTGTCAGCAATGGAGATGCTGCTACCCCAGCACACCACTCCATAAAAAAATGGCTGATGCCACCACAGCGTCGAAGAAGGTCCTGAGAAGTGCCCCTTGCACGCCAAAGGACCTGAGTCTCCTCAGGAGATGTAGCCTGCTCTGGCCTTTCCTGTAGAGGGCAGCTGTGTTGTCAGTCCAGTCCAGCTTGTTGTTGAGGTGAACACCCAGGTACTTATAGGACTTCACAATCTCAATGTCCATTCCCTGGATGTTCACAGGCACTGGAGGAGAATGTTTGGACTTGCGGAAGTCCACCACCAGCTCCTTGGTTTTTCCTGCGTTGATCTGCAGGCAGTTCCTCTGGCACCATTCCACAAAGTCCTGCATCAGTTCTCTGTACTTCCTGTCATCTCCGTCTGTGATGAGGCCGACGATAGCAGAGTCGTCAGAGAACTTTTGCAGGTGACAACTGGCAGAGCTGTACTTTATTTAACCAGGCAGACCATTAAGAACATATTATTTACTGTGGCAGTCTGGGTTTCCTCTCAGTCATATACAGTGACTAACCATGAAACCATAACAAGCTGAGCTGCTGAGATTCTTCTGAATGTTAGTGTTACAGCAGCAGAAGTGATACAGCTACAGTAGAGACTTTCACTGCTGCTGGTTTCTCTCTCTTGTGTTTCTGAATCATTTTCTGTCTCTGCAGATTCAGATCTCCACAGAGTGAGAGTGATGAGTGGAGAAAGAGAGTGAAATCATTCCTGCTGGATCTGTGTCTGCAAGCAGCTCTACATCAGAAAGAGGATATTCACACAACTGTACAGAAGCTGATGTCGTACGCCTATGGTGAAGAAGGTGATTTTCTGCTGGATCTGTTCTCACATGTGAAGAACTGTGAGACTCAGACAGGCAGGAGTTTTCTTCCAGCATTACAGCCAGTTTACCAGTCAGCTCCTGCAGAGTGGATCATAGACCTCTCAGAGAGAAAGAGCTCCCTCTTCCTAGAAGTGCTGAAACTCCAAACAGTGAAGAAACCAGTAGTGCTGACAGGCAGGTCAGATGAAGAGAGTGAAGTGAGGAGTTTCCTTCAGTGTCTGCCCTACGTCTCCCAGCTGAGGTGAGTGAGAAGTCTTTCTGTGATCACTGCTGACGTGGTAATTAATATTATTATGATGATTATTATAATTAATTTTAATAAGAGTGTGTTTAATATTCAGCGTCTGACAGTGAGCTCACTCTTGGTGTGTTATACTGTGTGATTTGTCTCAAAAATACAGTCATGTAAAAGTTTGGGTGCCTTTGATCAAATTACATTTTGTTGATTTTCTAAGTGAAAATAAATTAACGCGTACTCTACACAGAGCACATTTTAATACACCGTTACTGTTTATTTGCAGAAAAGAAAATAAGTATGGCTTCTGCAAAAGTTACGGCACATTTTATATTTCATGTTTCACTTTTTTAAATATGTTAAACTTAGCAAACAAATAGAAATAGTTCACTAAAATTTGCAGGAAAAATACCATATTTAAGTTTGTTTCCTGTAGAGGAGGTATTTACTTATTTTTGCGTATGTCTAATTAACAAGCAATTAAGAACTTTGTTTCAAAAATTGAATTAAAAATGCTATTTTAAAGAAATAATTTTACTTTTTTACTTTGAATACATCTAGGAGCCTGTACTGTTACACTTGAATAAAACAATGTAAACCGTGCTTCAACTTTTTTTTTTTTTGCCAGAGTACTTGTACTTTTACTTGAGTGAGGGTGCATTCAGTCTTGGTGGGTTTGATTCAATTGAATCATACCCTGGTGCGAGTGCTCTGTAATGTGGTTCATTACAACAAGTGAGAACGCTGCCACCCAAACTCTGTGCACCAAATAAGCAGACTGAGACCCCCTGAGCAGGTCGGTCTCTGTTCACTTGAAAGCAAATTCTGGTGTGATTCAATTGAAGTATGAATGCAGTACAGACCATAGATGTCTAAACGGACCAGAGACAGAATAACCTGTCATCTTCTCTCGAGAGAACGTTTTTGGTTAATGAAAAAGAGTTTCTGATGCTGTTTTGACACATTCATGTGTTTTTATCGTCTCTTCATAAGCTCTGAATCGGTAATTATAGAATAGATAATTTCAGCTTAAAACAAAGTAGAGGCATGTATGAAGTCATTATAAAACACTCCATATACGCATTTGACTGTACGTAAATTACATTATGCTTTAATATATGAATATTTCTTTGTCTGCTGCAACACAATATGTGACTGTGGACCCCCAACAAAGTCATTTCCTGTTTTTCTATTGTAAACAGTGAGTTTAAATCAGACTCCATCTGTTCCTCTGTGCTGATTAATGAAGCAGCCTGTCAGTCACAGCTGAGTGTTTAGTTTCTCAGACAGATTACTGAGCTTCAGAGTGCTGTGTGTTTGGTGGTTCTAGAAGATGTTATTAAAGACAGAATATGCTTTGGAGAGCACATGTCCCAGCTTTCTCCCTCCTAGATTTATGGTGTGCTTGTGCATTTGAAGAAAATATGCTGAACTGATTATCAGTTTGACGAAAATATCACTTCTTCAAAAAGAGAAATTGTAATTTATTTTAGATTTAATAACTGACCTCTTGGGGAATGTCTTGTGTCTCTTTTTTCTCAGGCTTCATTTTAAAAAACAAAGTGAAGGTTTCCAGTTCCTGGTGGAGCTGATTGTTGCAGCAGCAGAGTGTGACGCAGCTACAGGACAGAGTTTCACTAAACTGCTGACATCTGTGTGCAGCTACACAGCCTTCCCTTTTGATAAAACACATTATTCTTACTCTAATACTGCTGATCAGAGCGTTTTTCTGCTTGATCTGTTCTCACGTGTGAAGAACTATGAGACTCAGACAGGCAGGAGTTTTCTTCCAGCATTACAGCCAGTTTACCAATCAGCTCCTGCAGTCTGGATCATAGACCTCTCAGAGAGAAAGAGCTCCCTCTTCCTAGAAGTGCTGAAACTCCAAACAGTGAAGAAACCAGTAGGGCTGAGAGGCTGGTCAGATGAAGAGAGTGAAGTGAGGAGTTTCCTTCAGTGTCTGCCCCACATCTCCCAGCTGAGGTGAGTGAGAAGTATTTCTGTAATGTCAGTCAAAAACATGTTTTGATGGTAAATTAATTTTATTAGAATGTTTTTTCAGCATCTCACAAGGAGTCCAGTGTTGGTGTTACAGTAGGTTTTAACAACAATAATAATAATAATAATAATAATAATAATAGTAATAATAGTTTAATTTCTGTAGCACCATTCTCAATTCTCTCTTCTCACAGCTCATTCAGTCTCCACCACAGTAGTGCAGTCTCCATGTCTGTCAGCCAGTTCTCAGTCGGTGATGGACAAAGTTCAAAACAAATCACAAACATACCAAAATAATCTTAAACAAACAAACAATAAATGTAAAACGGCAGCCAGAACACACTACAGCTACAACTAATGACTATTTTCATAATCAATCAGTTGGTCCAATATGACCTCTATTAATCAATTTGTTGGGAAATAAAAACCTGATATTAGTCCGACAATAATGTTTCATTAAACTAATTAAAACACAAGGTTATTTTTCCTCTATAAAAGTACATAGAACGTCTACTCTGTCTATAAACAAGGGGTTTATATCAAGCACACAGCAACAGATTTTCTGCATTGCTCCTGAAATCTCTTTTGGAAGGTGCAGAAGCAATAAAGGAACAGTACAGATAGATATTAACTTACATGGTCATCCAGGATCTGCTGCTTTGGTGTATTTCTTCTCTAATGATAAAGCAGAAATAAATTAAGTAGTTTCTATGTGGTCATCATATAATGAAATTTGCTAGTACAGATCACTGCACTCTGTCTGATCAGCCGTATCAGACATGGAGACCTGAAGTAGCTCGTCACACGTAACACGGCTATAAACTCGGACTTGGACGGCTCATCTCAGCGCTGCTTATTCTCTCTGCTAAACTACTGTAGATTTAATAAGATAATAGTACCTCACCATGCTGAGTTTCTGCCTTGGATGTAGTGTATATTCTCTTTCACACTCGTGTTTAATCATGACTAATCAATAACTTTATTTTTTGGCAACAGTTATTATTATCGACGTCATTGATAATGTTGATTAGTTGTTGCAGCCCTGAAATGCACTGTGTTCTTACACTGGCCGTGACAGACAGACAGACACGGGACACACTGACAGAGTGCATGAGTTACTGAGATTTACTCAGTAAAATGCTATTTTTAACATAATTGAATTTTCATCAGTAGTGCACTCTGTAACAGACGCTGTATGAATAAAGTTTTGGAAAACAAATGTTCTAAATTACCTCTAATCACCTCTCACATGCATTTAATGTAACATATTACATTGGCATTGTATCATAGTATCTGTAAATCTTCTATAGTTCTAAATCTTGTTCAGTAGCCTCATTATTTAGTGTTTTTATGAGATGTTTGTGGGCCACTATGTTGTTTACAGTGTTGGAAGGTGGTTAATATTAAAACTTCTTCTTTATGCTTATTCTGTCTATCAGAGTAGTCATATTGTCTGGAGGGGTCTGATTCTCCTCGGTCATCTTAGAATGTTTTGTACTTTTCGTGTGTCTCTCTATCACTGGTACGTAACCTAGACACGGGGGGTGGACACTGTTTGGGCTGCTGAGGGTGAAAACACTCTCTATCGTCTGTGTTTGCTGTAGAAAAAAGTATATTTTTATGTAGAAGCGTACTCTCATGTTAAATTTAAGTGCATTTTACATGTTTTACAAACTTAACCAAAAATGTGACTTCTGATTTGCTTCATGACCCTGAGTGGTTCCAGCACATCTACTAAAATAGCTGATAGATGAGCGTAACAGGTTCTAATCTCATGTCAGAGCGTCTCTCTCAAGGAACGTAACACAAGAACAGAAGAACAGAAGCCAAAAAACAATGAGCCTCATTCACCAACCGTTCTTAAGAAATTTCTTCTTGAAACCCACTTTTGCAGTGTTTATGAAGATTCTGAATGTTTTCTTATTTGGGATTTGTTCTTCGGTAAGAACTGAATCTACACCCAAGAGCACAAAGGTGTGAATAGTTCTGCGGTTTATAAACATGATATGAATGTGACATAGACTTTTTCTTAGGACCTTTCTCAAGAACAAATGTAAGAAAAATATTGTTGAATGAGGCCCGTTATTTCTAGGTGTAAGAAATATATTCTTATGGTAAATATTCTATATTCAAAAGATTTTAATTTGCTTATGAGAGATGATCTAAATCCCTTCAACTTAAAGAAAAAATAATGAGAAGACAGAAAGTAATTTCTCTAGAATCTTCAATGGTGGTGTGAAGTCCACTTGTCTCACAGCTCATTCAAACTCCGCCACAGTAGTGCAGTCCCCATGTCTCTCAGCCAGTTCTCTGTCAGTAATGGAAAAAGTTCAAACAAATCACAAACATGCCCTAAACTATCTCAAACAAACAAACAATAAATGTAAAACGGCAGCCAGAACACACTACAGCTACAACTAATGACTATTTTCATAATCAATCAGTTATGACTTCAATTAATCGATTAGTAGGGAAATGAAAACCTGATATTAGTCTGACTATAATATTTCATTAAACAAATTATATAAGCAGCTCTAATACTCTTGTAGTTTAGTCGAGCCTTTAGAGCAACAGTTTCAATCTGCAGCTCATCTCAGCGCTGCTTATTCTCTCTGCTAAACTATTGTAGTTTTAATAAGATAATAGTACTTCACCATGCTGAGTTCCTGCCATGGATGTAGTGTATATCTAGTACGTTCAGTTTTATTTGTATCGTCATCTCTTTCTTTTTCACATAGGGCCAAGTAAGGCTGAACAGCATTTTTCCCTTAATAAATGAAATTACCATTTAAAAATGAACCATTTTTTATTTACATGAATTATCTTTGTCTACTATTAAAAGTAGTCTAATGATTTGAAATATTCAAGTGTGACAAATATGGAAAAATAGAAGAAATTGGGAAGGGACAAATAGTTTTTCACAACACTGTGTACACACACACACACACACATAGCGTAGCCTGATGGAAGATATGTTTGTTGAATTGTACAAATTAAAAACAGAATTATTCCTCTCATATCCTCATCCCCAATCCCAGTTTAATGACATTCCGCTTGTCAGCATTCCCGCTCATCATTCCTCTTTTCCTCCATGAATTCTGATGTTCCTTGTACTGTATTCCTCACCTGGAAGTGGCATTTGGGTGTTTTGCGGGGTTTTTTAAGGACTTTCACTTTCAGGTTTGTAGTCCTAATAAGGAAACTATTCTCTTATTAACAGCAAGTACCAAAATGTTCAGTAACTGGAGCCACAGATCGTTTATCACAGTAACATCAGCCACTCACATTTAACAGCTACAAACAGGGAGCAGTTTTATTACCGGTTAACAAAAATGCTAACGGCTAAGCACTGATCACAGTAGCTAAGTAGTACCTCACTACAACTGTGAACTAAACTGCCTTTGTGAAAGTCAAACTAACTCGAATACATGAATAACAAACATCATACAGGCCTTAACAGCAGTTCACACACACAGTAGCTCACGTTAACCTGAATTAACTCGAGCTACTGTCGTTAGTTTGTCCTACACTCAGAAGAGTCCGGAGTGAAACACTTTCTTCTCCAACACAAGCTTTTATGATTAGAGAGTAACATACTGATCTGTTAGAGCTCGAGCCCTGTGCTGAAAGCTGTTTATGTAGCCCATATCAGGGAAGTACCTGTCTAATTTGCGGTCGGCTTGAAACTAAAAGAAGATTAATTTCAGAATATTTTGTCACGTACCACAGTTTAGGAACTGCTGGCCAAGGCGGTTGACCTGAGGTTATTAACCGGTGGTCGCTAGTTCGCATTCTGGGTTCAGACGCCATATTGAGCAATACAAGCTTTCCCATTTATATTTTAACTAGTGCTGGACGATTTTCACGATTAATTCGGTTAATTTGAATTAACATTTTCACACAATGTTAGAAATGTGACAGTTGAGTTTGTACATGTTTACATTGCTTGTACTTTAATTGAAATCCCAACAAAAACTATTCAAATTTTCAAGACGTACGAAAAACGCATCTTAAATGAAAAAAACGCCGCCTCTCACAGGTCTGTGCACTGAAAAAAAAAACACAAACACTTCGAGATGGAGGCCAGCGGCGCTTCGCAGAGGAGTGAGCTCGTACCAAAGCAAAGTGGAAACATGTTGGTACATCCATATATGTAATGTATGGTTATCCCTGGAATTTCAGAGGGATGAACAAAATGTAACACAGTATAAGTCACACTGTCCAAGAGTTCAGTTTAACTTCTCTAGTTTAACATGGAATTTGATGTTTGTTGTATCTTAAAGGTTGTAAAATTTAAGTTTGGTGGCCAACCTGTTTAATCTTAATACATAATAAGTAGTAATAAGAATGAAGAATTGTAGTGGGAACTCACATATGGGCCCTATTTAGTTTTATCTTCTACATTCACCTTTCTGCCCATGATATATGTATGGAGCGATATAGATTTGTGTATATGTCATTGATGTGTCAACGCACTGGTCTTCACTATCCTCCCACCAGTCGTGGCCAGGCCGGGCAAACTTAAAGGTGCTGTGAAAGACTAAAAGGGGCCATGTGCGAAGGCCTTGGTGCAACCTACCTGGCTCAGAGGTTTTTTGGGGAGGGAGAGAGAGAGAGAGTTGCGACAGGCCTTTTTCCTCGGTGGAGAACATTACTAATGTATGAGGCGTGCGGGGGGAAGCGGGGCCATGTTGAATCGCTCCCACACACCCCTGGCATCCTCATAAGTCAACAGTAAAAGAGAGGCAGTTACCAGATACCTCTGACCAGCAAATCTGGAAGAAAGTAAATAAAGGCGGGGAGAGAGGATGGTAACCCAGGGCCCAACAACAGGGCTGAATCAGAGTGCGAAATAGCCTGAAGATCTCCCTCAAT